CCAGACTTATAGATTTGAATCATTTTTCCTATTTTCTATTCCTTTGGAAAACGACATAACTCAATGATTGTTCAAACATTTCAGTATCATAGAACTAAGGCTGTAGGTGCTTTTAAGGAATTTTCAATAATACAGTTACAGCCAGGAGCGGAGTGAAACGGCAAGTTATCTATAACTTTTATAATTCCAGATACTTCAACCATCAAGGAATTCATTGGCATATGTTTCATATTGGTACGCAGTAAGTTCAATCTTACTGATTTAAAAAAACTGGCTAGTAAATCAATAATCTTCTGCCCTTCACTTACTAATAAGGACTGTACCTTTTTTATTCTGGCATTTGTATATCGGCTGGTTTCTTCCAGTAAGAAACTTGGTATTCTATCCATCCTTGCTTTCCTTATTAAAAATTTTCTTATATCCAAATCTAATGCAGTTGGTGCGGAGACCATGACCTGAACCATGACCATGAACTGTAAGGAATGCCCCAGCCTGTTATGGTATAGGCTGACTCCCCTAGAATAGAGCATGTTATCGATAAAGATGTGAAGTTACATTCGACATTTATCAGCAAGAACTTGCAAGCACTACAACACACAATTTGCTGCTAGTTTTTAGCTGCATCATTTTATGATGCCATAAGAGAAAAATGCTCTAAAACAACGAGAATTCGCTCTCCTCTTGTTACGCTCAAGTTGCAATAAATGTAAAATGGTTGTCAATTTTACAATATGCAGTACTCCTACCGAGCCAAACAGTATTTTTAATGTAAAGACAGAAATGAAACATTTACATCTTTAGTAACAAGCTTTGACTGTAGAGCAACTGAAGTGTTGACAGAACTGGGCATATAAACAGGACAGTAACATTGTCACAAAATACTGCAAGCCACCAACCACATTTCATACGCTAGTCTATCTATGGGAAGCACCTCCCGCAGTCAAGCTGCAAATGACTAGGGCCAAAGCATTACGTGAAATAGTTGTGTGTTATTGCGTCAGCACATTAAGCTGTAATGAACTGCTAAGTGTGCAATGCGAGTGTGCTTGTATGTGCATTTTCTTCATTCTTCCCACTCTCCTTCACCCGCCACAGTTTGGTTAATGGTGCCATTTAATAAGCAGTATCAATCATTGCTTTATAGGATTTTTGTTGCTGATTGTACAGGTTCTACAGACTGCATTGGAAGCAGATTGGGTTGAAAGAATGCAGGCAATGGCTGGCATGGGTGACACGCCTGTTCCCCACGGGTTAAGTGTTACCTCTACTACTTCGTGATGTGGCTGCTAGATGTGGAAGTTTGTGAAAAAATGCATCAAATTCATTACTTTCCGCTAGCTTTTTACGAAAATTAGATTGTGTGAACCAATTTCAGCGTCAAAGATTTCCGTAGCGCTGATAACATTGGAGGCAAAAGTTTTGATTCGTATTCTGTTAATGTCAAATTAAACACCGAGGTAAAAACTTTGAAAAATGCTGACCAAGGTGAAGATATTATTACAGGAAAGACAGCTGTATTTTCCTCCAATTAGGCAAGCAGCACTCGATACGATCAGCTCGTGCCAGTATATCTTCTGTCATTCTCCTCTTCATACATTTTGGCACGATTTCACTGGCACATAGCAATATACTTCCAACATTTTGGCTCCCACGTGGCATTTTTGTTGACAACAAAGACCATGGAGTTATGTACAGTTTAGCACATGATGTAAGGTGCAGTTGTAAAACAGAATGAGGTTTTCGTCGCCGTGGTTGAAAGTGTGAGTCCTTGTCAAGACATTAAGTAACAACAAGCTCTTCAGTTAGGTTTCATTCACTTCAAAGTCAAACTAAATATATTTTCACCTTGGTCAGCGTCTTTCAAAATTTTTACCGATTTTCCACCAAAACAGACTAGACTTCATTATTACCCTCGACTCATAAAATATAGGCATTTACCAAGCTTCACGCTTGCTCAGAGAATCTCTGTATACATGAGATTTCTATAGAGTAAACACAACTTCAAACATTTAAAATTTTCAGTGTCAAGCCCGGGACATTTAAAATTTTCAGTGTCAAGCCCGGGATAACTCGGGCTACACCACTAGCTCAAGTAGTCTCTGCCTGCCACTTACTGGAGAACCGTTGTAAAAAAATTATTTCGGGCATGTCCCACCGTCTATCAAGATCACAAATAAACAAACATAAATTGCCGAAAAAATTTCAATAACAGATGGCACATTTTTCTACAGCCATGTTGAATCGCTTCTTTTCTTCAGGGTCTCGCCAGCTGAGCCATAGCAAGTTCTAGCTGCCCATCTATGTTCGAACAGCCAGGTGCCCCTTTGTGTGGTCCCCAATTTTGAAGAATGCTGCACTAGAACGACACACTGAAGACTTCATCTTAATCAGTGACTAATTATTTGCTAACTTAATTATTCCTAATTTGCCTGAAATTAGTTAATTTTTTTACTTGATGATATAAGTTTCGATTAATAATTTCACACGCTCTGAAGAACATTTTAGTGAACTACTGTGCTAACACGAAAATTCCATGCAACATGCAAAGAAAGACACCTGGCACAAGGTGTAGCATTTCGTGGAAAACCGGACAGTTATAGGGTTAATGTCTATAATGTCTAGGGTTAATGCTTTAAAGCCTCAGCTGTACATGCAGAATCATGCAGAACATCACTATGCTAATACAAGTAAAGGTCTGTGGGTTCAGGTTGAAAAGAATGTGAATGATAACAAATAAAGAAGTTTTAGCGCCTAGTTCACAGCAATACACACTAGCGCCTTAGCACAACGGCTGCGTTATGAAGAAGCACATAGAGCACACCTGTTAACTCTCCAGAACAGTGATATATTTCGATAATGTGCACCCTCTACCAATCCTGCATTATGTTTTATGCGAAGAGCAATTGATATTGTATCATTTAAAAAATGCACAATAATAAAGAAACAAGTAATTAAAGTCAGTATAAACAAATTTGCCGTAAACTGTTCTGTGTCATGTGTATGCTGCCCAGGAAACTGATTGGGAAAGCATAGTGACAGGACAAATTTGCAAACCGTTCAAACTGCTGATCTATACTGCATCCGCCCCAATTTTCTGCTGGCACAGAACAGAGATCACTGCATCAACTTGCCAATAGCCTACATATCTATCCTAAAGCACATCACTAGTTGGCAAAGCATACTTGGTCAAAAAAGTGAAGCGCTCTCAAAAGCTCCGACACAAAAATGTGTAGCACAGTGCCTTTCATACTGTTGCTGTCGATATGCAGAATACAAAACGATGCATCAAGCTTGCTTCGTGCGGCAAGTTTTATTGACATAAATTATAAGTTTAATGCGCGAAATAACCAAGATGACATGCTCGCGTAACGATATTTAACTATGTGCCAACAAACGCATGTGCAACCATCGTTTCCACTGCGCATGTGTGTCCACAGATTATCATTGGAAATCTTTGTCAGTCTACTCCTGCTGTGGACACAGGTGTTAAAACGAATTCTAACGCCAACTTAAGCTCCAACACTGATTCCAGAAAGGAAACAACAATATTTAATGCACGTATTTATGTTTGACGTTGTGGTGCGTCAGTGAAATCTTTCCTGTCTTCGTCGTCACTCATATACTCCGCCAAGCTGTCCGTGGACTGGTCTGTGTCCTCTATCTGCGTTGTTTTTACGGGCTGGGCGAGGTTCTTGTAGATGGCCATGGCCTGGACTACTGACGAAGTGACGTCACCCGTGTTGGCCGGAAGGATGATGGTGTTGCCTTCCTTGGCGAGACTCTTGAAGGCTTGCACGTACTGCTCGGCCACCATGAACGACGCGGCATTGCCACCGACTGGTTGTCCCAAGGAGCTGGCTATTCTGCTAAGGGCCTTGGCCTTGGCCTCAGCTTTGGCCAGCGTAGCGTTAGCCTCACCCTGCGCCTTGTTAATGAGCTCCATCTTCTCGGCTTCCGAGGCGAGGATGCGCGCACGGCGCTTGCCCTCGGCCACGTTGATATCTGCTTCTCTTATTCCTTCGGACTCGAGGACGGCCGCCCTCTTCTTCCGCTCAGCTTCGACTTGCATCTGCATCGCTTCGTGAACCCGCTGTGGCAGGCGTATGTCGCGGATCTCGTAGCGCAGGCACACGATTCCCCACGCACCACTCGCCTTGTTGATGGCATCCACGATGGCAATGTTGAGAGACTCCCGCTCCTTGAAGACGCTGTCGAGCGCTATCTTGCCGAGCTCGGAGCGCATCGTCGTCTGTGCGAGCTGCGTTATGGCGAATTCGGGGTCCTCGACGCCGTAGCTCGCCCGATACGGGTCCACCACTTTCAGGTAGAGAACGCCGTCGATGTTGAGCGTCACGTTGTCTAGCGTTATGGCAGACTGCTGCGGGATGTCGATGGCTATTTCTTTGAGCGACTGGACATAGCGTACACGGTCTATTACGGGAAGCAGCAAGTTCAAACCGGGCTCCAGTATTCGCGAGAACTTTCCCATCCTTTCGACCACCCATGCTTCTTGTTGAGGTACAAACATAATCACTGTGTTGATGGGAGTAGTAGACCTCTGCCGAGAGCAACGAGTACTCGTTGACACGACGCTGCGCAGGAGAGTTCTGCAAGGTGTTGCTCTTGCCAAGGAATACATGCTTGCACGCTTTAATTGCCTAAACAATCGAAAACCGACCCTTTGAACGGCACAGACGAAACCGGTCACCGGCAGGACATAACGCTGCGAAATGCTTCTCCACAAAACACCTACCAGGTGCCCAGAGTTGCTGCTTGTTAAGAACTTGCGGCTGCCAGAGATAGCGAAACTAATGTAGTATTTGTTGACTTCATTAGCCAATGTGGCTATAAACCTTAATTCCAAAGTTAAACCGTTATTTTTATTTTGGGTTAATTCTAGTGTGAAATTTGCACACTCCTATTGTTAGTGTAGTTAGACAAGGGCTCTCTCATTCACCGGTAGCATCGGTCATGGGCACCGGCAGGTAGGAAATGTGCTATGCAGAGAAGCAAAGTCGTACGTTTTTGCTTTTTCAGAATGCTCTGTGCTCCTAAACGCTGCTTGATGTCGCCATTCTTTCGCGTTTGAAAACTTTAATTGAAAGAGAATGAACACGGAAGTGCGTTTCCAGGCTTCGTTCAGCCGCCAGTGCTGCAGTGTCTAGCTTCTTTAGGGATGGGCCCGAAAAACAAACGGGCGCACATTCGTCGGGAATACAAGTCTCTCACTAAGGATGCCCTCCGCCAAGAACTGAAATACCGAGGCATAAAATCAACGGGCAAGAAATCAGACATGGTCAGTGGCATGTCGCAGCGCTGCCAGAAACACCGTAACGCATGATTGCCTGCTTTCCCCTGAAGTAATTGGCCGTCCAACTGAATTGGATATACGACTCCATCATCTTAGAGCATATGGCAGTGTTACCTATGCATGGTTTTTGCACACCTTCCGGTGTGATGAATTTACACGTTTTGCCCCTACGCTATTTCTTTAGACATATGATGTTGGCTAGCGCAGCAGCCTTCCTTGGAGCGCCTCTTTCATAAGATGGTTATGGGGTCTCTTTCATAAGATGGTTATGGGGTTCGGTACAGCGTGAAAAGGACGCAAACAGAGTACAGGAAACACAAATCAAATGAAGTAAGGCAGTCGTGCACTCTAAGTGCACTCTAAGCGAAAGGGGTACCGAAAAGATTATCACGGAGCTGCGGTTGTCGAGTGCAACTAAACCACTTTAGCAGTTTCTATCTTGAGAGAAAGAGTGCTAAACACCTCTTGATTAATTCAATCGGTGAAATCTTAAGAGAACCGTCGAATTACACGCACTTTCTCTGCTAGCTACGTTTCAATAGGCAGTCGTTCTCGACGCCAAATGCAACGCGTTTCGGATTTGTTTCCTGCTGTATAATTGCTATACGTCGCGTATTCTATGAACTGCTGATCCAGCGAAAACGACATCTGGAATCGCCAGCCTTTCAACTGGCCAGTCGTATCGACGAGCAAGGGACGCCGCTGGCTGCCTTGACGACGGATAAACGGGCGGACGTTACGCACCGGCACGCTCGGATACGCACGCGTAGCACACCCAACTTCCGTTGTAGAATAAAGAACAGTCCAATCACGTGTTCCCACTTAACGATGTAAAAGAGGAAAGAACGGATGGGAGAAATGAATGCGTGTGCACCTGCTGCGATAGTTTCGTTCTTTTCGTAGAAACAGCTGTAGTCTTCGGAGCCGCTCGGGGCCTTGCACGATAGCTACGTGCCCGATTTCACCACCATCAAATGGACTTGTGAATGCACTGTGTGAGTCGCTGTCTGTTAATGCACACTTCTTCTTCTCATCTGGCTGTCGCTACCTTACTTTTTTGTTTTCACACGCACTCGTTTCATTGTTGTGGGATTTTCCTGCTGGCTGCGAAACCGCGCTTCGGGAATATTTAGCTTTCACCGCCAGGAAAGAAAAGTCGTCTGCCACGTCGCCTAAGAAAAAAAGTTCTGTGCAGTTACTGAAATGTTCACTCGTGCAATAGAGTCTCATCGTTATGCGGCACAACTCTGAGGCTTTCTCAATTTGGGGAACTGTAAGGCTGGCACGCTGACTCGAGGTAATGTCGTTGCCGACTTGCCCCTTTTGTTCCAGGTAGCTAGCTCGTGTTCTCGGACGAGCTTCGCAGTCAAGCTCCGATTGCGCCGCTGTGTAGTCACGCGCTTGGAGCTTATTAGTTGAAGCCGTGTGTCCATGTGCGTAGTGTCGTGTGCACAGCGTGATTAATTAGAGAACGCTTATTTCGTGGTTTGTTTCGCGGTGCAAGTAGTGGCTATCGTCGAGGGAGCGTTGCGCGTCGCAAGACGCCATGGTGAATCCTCCGTTCGTAAGTATGAGAAGCGAAATTCAACCAAATTCCAAAGTCATCGTTCGAGCAGACGAGATTTAGCTCTAGCGGAAGGTGATTGACCCGGTCGCCCGGCCAGTGTCGTTGGCCGTGCGCACATTGGTGTGTGGTCTGCCTTGTGCGCCAGCGATCGTCACATGGCGTGATCGCATGAATCGGGTATTCGCATCCTCGTCACACGCGGCGCTTACCTTCACAATTGATAGCCGTGCAAACGCTCGCGCATTCGTCGTACATGAGTGGCATGACCTTGTGTCACGTGCGAGTTCATCATTTCCTCTGGGGCCACATTCGTATCGAAATGACGTCCAATGCGTAACGGCTGAGTACTCTTCTTAGTACTCTTGCTACCCTCAAGGAAAAAAAAAATCTGCACAGAGTGTCACAAAAATACGTAGCTCTAGTGCACAGACACGCGCATAGTGTGTTGCGAAGTTTCGTTCTGATTGTGCTGACGCTGGCCGTTCCGTAGCTGCCTATTTATTACTGGCCAACAGCATCTTAACTATTTACGCTATGGTCTTTAAAAAAGTGGCATTAGTTACCTGCATTCACATTGTACGTATCACCTTAAATAGCATAAGTCACCGATGTGGATAGTATTTGGTTAAGTGCGCCCTGTACTATCTCTCTGCTCCATCTTCCTTCTGAAACATTCCCTGCGCACTAATGAAGTATATTTCTTTCTAAAATGCAGTATGTCATCGTCAACTTGCATGCACGTGCGTTTAAGCAATGAGAAATGCCTCTGTGCCAGATTTACCTGTTGGTTTTAGTGAACGTCGATCAAATTGTTGATTATCGTTAAGCTTAGCAACCTTCTTAAAAGGTTCTTAAAAGTTACCTAAACATTGTGTGCTTAGGTAACTGTGTTAAAGGACCATTACACACCCAAAACCCCACAACCAGCATTGCTTGTGCCAGCGTTGTTTTGTAAGCCGGTTTGGGTTCTCTTACAAGCCCAGGGGTTTGCGTATGCAAACTTTGGGTACACAATATTTAAAGCTCTTCAATGCTCTTGAAGTTTATTTTATATTGTCCATTTACGTTGACTTGGAGCACCGTACGTGAGACAAGAGGTACGTGGGCCAATCCTCGGTGTCTTCATGAGGATCGCCATGAAAAGGATCGGGTGTCCGTGGCTCATCGACAAGAACGTGCGTGGCAGCGACTGGAGACGAAACGACGTGTCGATGCAAACCGTTGCAGCCTTCGGCGATGAGGAGTCGACTACGCACCAGGCGATCCAGTTTGGATTTGGACTCCCGTGCGGACGCCTGGCCTGTCCCAAAAGCTTCTGCGCCGCTATTTCGGCCCTTACCGAGTCCTTCGTCGCGTCAGCTCCTTGAACTGCGAGGTGTCACCGGAAGGACACGTGAGCTCATCAAGATGCCGAAGGAGCACAGAAATCGTGCATGTGGTCAGAATGAAGCCATACTATGACAGGCAATGAACATCGAATTACACACCCAATCATAAGGAATACCTATTTCTCCAATGAAAACCACACATTCAGACCATCTCAGCAACACTGCTTTTACGCATCGGGACGATGTATTCTTGGAAGAGGGATAATGACGCAAGACCAACGCAGTATTCAAACTACATGCGCTAGTTCATGCGCCCCCCAAGAGACCAGCGGCCCGATGGTGAGACAAGAAAAGGCCGTAACGGCACGCGCCTCCTCAGCACGGGATTTTGACAAAAAAGAAGTGGGGCACCGCTCGAAGGCTTCTCGGAGATTGATTCCTTTTGCTGATTGCCTGTTCGAAACACTGCTACATTTTCCTTTACTTTTCGGGCACAAGTTAGCCCAAATAAACAGTTATTCTTACACCATTCGGGTTGTGCGTAACAATATGCAGCAATTGGAGACAAAGTGGTATGGGGGACAAAGTGTTTTCTTGATTAAAACTTCTCATACATTCACCTTTATGAGAGTTGATCATGTTATTCCAAAATGAACTAACAGCAACCTGTGTAGCTTTTTATCTTAATCTGCTGCAAAAGCTTAGTTAGTTTTATTTCTTCTAGTTCCTTACATTCAGTATGTCCTACAATGTCGAGGTTTTGATGGAAGGCCGCCTGGTTTGGAAGTAACATGACACAATTAAAAGAACCACCGACCATGAAAAAGAGTACGAAAAAGACATTTTGGCTCCCCTGATGGGAGCCTTGTTTGTACAAGACTCAGGGGAGCTGAACGTCTTTTTTGTTGTTTTTTTAATGGTTGATGTCCTTTTTTTATTTCTATTAAGTCTTATGATGAGACAAAGGGAGGCGTTGTATGGTCACCGCAGAAAGACGCAAATAACTGTTCCTGCCAGTGGTCACTTCTGCGAATATTTTTCTGGCATGGCCATGTTTTTCAGAACAAGTGTGTCTGCAATAGACAGATTCCACAGCGAATGTCGCAGTGCTGCCACGAAAGATGCGGGTGCTGGTGGTAACAGTAATCTTTAGTGATTACTGATTTCACAGAAGAGCTACTGTGAAAAGCATTTATGCATCATGACAAACCCAATGAGCCCCGGAAATCAACACATAATGGGATGAAAATTGAAAGATTTCTCGAGATAAATGGGGCCTTGGAAGGTCGCCGTCTTGCTCGGAAAATCGGGTAGAAATGTCCATGCTTGCCATTGTAATTTAGCAGCCGACGTGTCGGACTGCTAAGCTCACAGACACGTCAGCCATATTTCAAGGGGGCAACATGCCAAAACACCTGTGTACTGATATTTAGGTGCAAATTAAATAACCCCGAAAAGCCAAAACTAATCCAGAGTACCGGACTATGGTGTACTTCAAAATTGGATCTAATGAAACCAACAGACAATGAAGCAAAGGAAGGTACCAGGGACATCATTGTATCATTATGTTGTGTTTGACAAAGAAACAAGCTCGTGGTCAATCACCTTCCCCTCTTTTTCTTTCATTCATAGTGACGGTCTTGTTACAAAAAATTTTATTTGATGCTGTAAGTAATATGCAAGTGTTCATTGGTCAGCTGGCTAAAAAGTGTTCCACGCTCGCTGTCATGGCTGCGGGCAGTTCTGACTAACATTTTGAAGATTACACAAACTTTAAACGCCTAATAAAGCATATGGGAAAGCAACTATCACTGTGGATAAATTGGCAGAGCATCAGAAGAGTTTGAGTCTAGCCTAGTTTGTTTACTGCTTGAAATCTTGGCCGCTAACAAAGGGGAGGCCAGCAAAAGGAATGACAACACTGGTGGTAAACTTTCATCGATTTAGTCGCAGCAAGATTTAGCTGTGTATAGACAACTGTGACATGTGCAGAACCTAACAGATCCACTGATCAGTCTTCTGGGACAACAACCTAATGAAATAGTAGAGCATCGGACACATGATTCGAAACTTGTGGGTTATGATCCACCAATGGATAGGGCTATTTTGCACCCACTTTTATTCAGTTCGAGTTACATCGCAATTGCTACACTACGCTTAAAACCTACAAAAAAATCTCCCATCTGCTTTTGTTAGCTTCAGTGTCTGTTGGTTTTGTAATGTTGAGTTTAACTACATGGGTGAGCCCTCTGTCCAACCTGCCACGGTGGTCTAGTGGCTAAGGCACTCGGCCCCTGACCCGCATGTCATGGGATAGAATTCTAAGCACAATTTCGGTGGAGGTAAAATGCTTGAGGCCCATGTGCTTACATTTAGGTGCACGTTAAAGAACCCCAGGTGGTCGAAATTTCCGGAGCCCTCCACTGCAGTGTCTCTCATAATCGTATGGTGGTTTAGGACATCAAAACCGAACAATTATTATTAGAGCCTTCTATGTATCCCTCCCCTCTTTTGTTCATAATGTAGTTTTGTTTTTTCCACAATGTTGCCAGAATGCAAGTGATGCAGAAAAAAAAAAACAATAAGGGCTACAGTTATTTTGGCTGAGCTGTGCGCATGTGCTCTGAACACGATTGAGTATGTCTGTGCTTCTGTTTGATAAAAGGTTTCGTCTTCCTCATGTCGACTGTTGACATGATTATGGGGTAATATTGGCAATATTTATGCCCATTCTTCACTACGGATTAATAAAAGGTTAATAATGCACTTTTGTGGGCCCTCCCAGGTGAAGAGGCTGGAAAAGTGGGACCAAGACCAGATGGCAGCCGACGCAAGTGATTCTGCCAAGGTGGATTTGTCATTGCGCCAGCGCAAGACTTCAGAGTCCCTTGGTGTTGTGACCAATGGAGGCCTGGCCACTACGGCCAGCTCGCAACAGGAGGCCCTTCGCATGGAGCTGCTGGCTGGATGTGACGACCGAAAGAGCCTGGTGCTCTGGCGGAGGCCCGTCATGACGTTGCGTTATTTCTTCAGTGAGCTGTTCGTGCTCGGCCTTGACATGGGTGCAAGGCAAGTGAGCCCTCCCTCTCTTATGCAATAGGGTCAGAGAGTCGATGAAAAGTGTAGTGTTGGCAGCGTTGTACACGAGTGAGAATACCTCTATGGATGCAAAGAATGAAACTTGCTGTGGTTGCCAGAATGTAGTGCAAAACTTATGTATGCATATGACGGCAAGAATTATTTAGTGCATGCATAATGTGTTTCCCATAGTGCTTTGTCTTGCTTGGCATCTAGTTGTAAATAACATTGGATTTTCATGCAGGCTGTGGCGGAACAGGAAACAAGTCTTGGCTGCATTGTTAGTATTACTTCTGTGCACTATTGCCTACTACATTGAAGGATCTCATCAAAAGGTAGTTAGTGTTTGTACAAGTCTACTAATGATATTAAAGCTGTGAAAAGGGAAAGAAATGCATCATTTTCATTACTCATCCTTCAGTCAATCATTCATACTGAGAAAGGATTGTGAGACTAGACATGAAGTGTCATTGTACGAAAAATCTTTAGCCTGTTCCTCACTGCACCTCTAACAAAAAAAAAATATTATTTCTCAAAAGCCTTTTTCCTTTTAATTTGGGCCTTGTAATAAATGATGAAAGCTAAAAGACGGAACGCCATATTTGTAACCACTCTTGACCATCCTTAGATTCTGAGTGCATTCAGTGCTTTGTTCTTTCTTCTACTACTCCTTTTAATATACTTATTTACAGTGTTTCAGATTTTTACTGTAGGCAGATAAATATATCATCGCTTTGGAGCGTATCTTTTATGTTGATACCACAAGTTACAAGTTGCTGTTGTTATTTAAAAGCACTGTTAGGCTTCACGTAGCAAGGTTACTACAATTTATGCACCTCACAGCGAGTCTTTTGGCCATAGTACAGCTATGCTATACCTGTTGCTGCCAATTAATTTTGGGATTAACTACTCACCATTTGTATATTGCATTATGGCAACACTTAGCGATAGTGCTAATAAACTTCATTTTCAGTGCTAAAAAAGGCTTTCTAAGGCACCTTGTTTTGTTTTCTTAGGATCAAGTGTGTCCTTACGTTAGAGGCGGGCATGTTGTGAATTATTTTTTTCCTTCCCGTGCAGTACATAGCCTTCATAGAGAAGAAAGTGCTCTGGTGTGCCTATTGGGTAGGCCTCGGTGTTCTTTCTTCTGTTGGCCTCGGAACAGGCCTCCACACTTTTCTGTTATACCTGGTAGGTGCATTGTGTCCATTTTGTTTTGCTTGGTAGAAAGTAATGAATGGAGACTATTTTTTAAAAACATTTGCTGTCTTGGTTGCAACAAAATTGGTATGGAATATATGCATGTAATGATGAAAAACTAAGTAAACGGGACATGTAGAAAATAAATATCGGATAACGTGTTTTGCTCACTAACCGCTGTAAAGCACAAGCAACAAATACAGCAGTATGCTGTGTAGAGCAAATATGCTGTGTAGAGTAATATGCTGTGTAGAGCAATATGCTGTGTAGAGCAAACCTAAATATTTACAAAATGTATAGATCATAAAAGTGCTTAGCAAGTTGTAAAGAAGTTTTAATGTTCTTTGAGTCAAAGAGAAATTTTCATGAAATCATGTACATACAACGGTCACTTCATGTAATATTCTTAGTCTGCACTGTGGCAAGTTTATATGTCTCCTTTACACTGAAGTAGCCAAATAATACCAAGTTCAGTAGTAAATTTGCTAAGCAAATTTTCTTAGTTTCTAAGGCATTTAGCTTCTGAAGAACTTCAAGTCGACGAAGTATTTTGGAACCACCTTCATTGAAAAACCAGATTTCAGGCCTTTCACTACATTTTCTCAATGTGTTTTATATTGGTTTGCAATGTATACCATGTGATATTGCCACCCACACGTAGTGGGTCGACTGCAAGAGCGGCTCTACCATCTGGAGGAAAGGAAGAAGAATTGCGTGTCTCTTCTCGGCTCGAGAGCCAGCCACGACTGACGCATCGTCCTAGAGCTAGCTACCCGGTTGTTCAATATATCTCCCAGTACTTGTGACTCATCGTGACAAACTGGTGGAAGGTGCTGGGTAGTCTCACGGATGCTGCAGACCCCCCCAGGAAGCCGTAATACGAGTCCAGTGCCAGTCAATACTCCCGTGCATCGGACGAGCCGCCGAATCAGGGGATTGCCTCCGGAAGTCAACGATACTGCTACCACCACGTCAACAAACATGACCAGCACTTCGGTACAAACCTTGCCAACCGGCACGGGAAGCACGTCGTCGAACCGATATACGTTGGAAAGCCCACGGGCACCGACGACGTTCCATGGTACGGAGAGCGAAGACGTTGAGGACTGGTTGGCGGACTTCGAGCGCGTAGCCAACTTGAATCAGTGGGACAACGCGGCGAAACTGGGTCGTGTCTACTTCTATCTCGAAGACGGGGCTCGCACGTGGTATCAAAATCGAGAGGAGCAGCTGACGACGTGGCCAGAATTCTCTCGTAGACTTCTGCAGACATATGCCAGTGCTGACCGCCAAGAAAGAGCTGAACGAGCTATTCTTGCCCGCGTCCAGTCGCCAAACGAAACTGTGACCGCGTACGTCGAAGACATGACGCGTCTCTTCCGACGGGCAGATTCAAGAATGACGGAGGACAAGAAGTTGCGTCACTTGATGCGTGGTGTCAAGGACCAGCTTTTCGCCGGCCTCGTGCGAAGCCCTCCGAAGACGGTCGCGGAGTTCTTGTCTGAAGCCGTGACAATGGAAAAAATGCTACAGCAGCGATCAAACCAATACGACAGGCAAGTCAGAGGCATGTCCTCTGCTGACATTTTCGCCGCCGCTGGGACCAGCAATGACTCCTTACGTGAACTCATCCGTAATATCGTACGTGAGGAGTTGCAAAAGGCTGGTGTAACACCTAATCCTACGGTTAGCTCTATTGCAACCGTCATCAAAGATGAGCTGCACCAGGCCCTCCGGGACACCTTGCCTCCTGACACAGCTGCGCCAGCTCCTGCTGAATACCACCGTAAGACAACCTACGCGGAAGCCCTGAAACGCCCTGCTGCATCGCCGCCCTTGTTCGTTCATCCTGTCCCTGCAGTTTCACTCGAGTCAGCGCAGCACATGCCATACTACGAAGGCACGTACACGCCACCGCCCCTGCCCTTTGGCCGTGGTGCTTCTGTTGCCCATCGTTCGGTACAACCGGTCCAGTACATCGACGATCGGCACTCGTATCCTCGGAAGTCTGATGTCTGGCGCACACCCGATCACCGGCCTCTATGCTTTCATTGCGGAGAAGCTGATCACTTGTACCGCCAGTGTCCTTATCGCCGTCTTGGGCTTCGCGGCTTCTCTGCGTACTCGCCGCCCCCCCGTTACGGTCAGAGACCACGCGACATCCAAAACTACCTCTCCCAGCAGCATGAACCACCGTCTGCCGGGCGCCAGTCGCGCTCGCCATCACCGAGGCGATTTTCATCAATGCCCCAGCGGTATTCTACCGCACGATCTCCCAGCCCCCGCCGGGAAAACTAGCCGAAGCGACCTCTGGGGGCGGGGTCGCTGAACGTCGAAGCGCTGAAGACCTCCTATTGACGCAGAACCGTACAGAAACTGGTCCGACATCACCTGCTGCTGCAAAGGATAGCCGGCTTTCACTCGACATAGCAGTAACAATTGATGGTTGTGTAGTTAATGCGTTAGTGGACACCGGCGCAGACTATTCCATACTGAGCGGGAAACTGACAACGCAGCTGAAGAAAGTAATCACGCCGTGGCATAACTCGCAGATTCGGACAGCTGGTGGCCATGTCGTAACTCCACTGGGTGCCTGCACAATTAGAGTACAGATTCAAGGGTACACATTCGTAGCAAGCTGCCTTGTTCTACGTGAATGCTCCCGTGACGTCATTCTGGGAGTTGATTTTCTACAGGAAAATGGAGCTATCATTGATCTGCAAGAGCGCCGCGTCACGTTCTCAGCCCAGCGAGCAATCAACGTGCAGGATGACGGAATGCGTGTCGACGTACTCCGTATTTCTGAACAGAGCGTGACGCTTCCTCCCCGAGCCAGTGTTCTAGTCGACGTAAGATGCTGTGGTTTGAGCGATGGCGATGTGGTGGCCGAGACAAATTTAGAACACCTCCTGCAGCAAGGCATATGTGTAGCGAGAAGTGTAATTCACGTTCGCGACGGCCGATCTGAATTGCTCGTTACCAACTTTAGCAACGAGCATCGACACCTTTTCCGTGGCACTTCGATAGCGTTTGCCCACGAAGTAGCAAATGTAACCAACTGTCCCACGTCAGAAATAGTGGATAACGCAGACACATCAATGAGCAACATTGACATCAATCCTGATCTGTCCACCGATAACCAGACTGCGCTGCGAGCGCTCTTGTTCGAGTACAGGTCTTGCTTCGCAAGTTGCTCAAAGATCCGCCAGACGTCCATCACTCAGCACAGGATCATCACGTACGAGGACGCACGCCCAATACACCAGCACCCCTACCGCGTGTCGGCTAAAGAACGTGAAGCGATACGTACGCAAGTTCGCGAGATGCTTGACGATGGCGTTATCGAACCATCCAACAGCCCGTGGTCATCTCCAGTCGTGCTTGTTAAAAAGAAAGACGGATCGCTACGCTTCTGCGTCGATTACCGAAAGCTCAACAACGTGACCAAAAAGGATGTGTACCCGCTACCGCGTATCGACGATTCGCTGGATAGACTTCGTCGTGCCCATTATTTCACTTCTCTCGACCTCAAAAGCGGGTACTGGCAAATCGAGGTAGATCAGCGAGACCGCGAAAAGACAGCCTTCGTGACTCCAGACGGCCTATACCAATTTCGAGTACTCCCTTTCGGCTTGTGTTCAGCGCCGGCAACTTTCCAGCGAATGATGGACACTGTCCTCACAGGGCTCAAGTGGCAGACTTGTCTTGTCTACCTTGATGATGTGGTGGTCTTCTCTGCCACGTTCGAGCAGCACCTACAGCGCCTGCGCAGCGTGCTGGAGGCTATCCGATTGGCGGACCTCACTCTAAAGCCACAGAAGTGCCACTTCGGCTATGAAGAACTGAAATTTCTTGGACATGTAGTTAGCGCTGAAGGAGTCCGGCCCGATCCAGACAAGCTTGCCGCTGTTGCCGAATTACCAGCTCCTGTCGATAAGAAAGCCGTCCAGCGCTTCCTTGGTTTGTGCGCCTACTATCGCCGGTTCATTCATGGCTTTTCACAGATAGCAGAACCTCTGACTCGTCTCACAAGGGACGACACGCCGTTTGTCTGGGAAAACGAGCAACAAGCAGCTTTTGATGAACTGCGACAGTGCATGCAATCAGCACCCATTCTCGCTCATTTCGACGATGATGCTGACACGGAGGCCCATACTGACGCTAGTAACGTTGGGCTTGGTGCAGTGCTCGTTCAGCGTCAAGACGACATCGAAAGGGTGATAGCCTACGCCAGCCGCTCTCTATCCCGTGCCGAGGCGAATTATTCCACTACGGAGAAAGAGTGCCTCGCAGTCGTGTGGGCAATCACCAAGTTTCGCCCGTACCTTTATGGTCGTCCCTTCAAGGTAGTGACGGACCACCATGCCCTCTGCTGGTTGGCAAGCCTGCGCGACCCTTCAGGGCGGCTAGCACGGTGGAGCTTGCGGCTGCAGGAATTTGACGTCACCATCGTCCATAAGTCCGGCCGTAAGCATGAAGACGCTGACACACTGTCACGCGCACCCCTTCATGTCGTCAGTCAGGAAGCAGAGGAAGACGAAGGCTTCCTGGGCGCCATTAGCTCATCAGACTTGAGTAAACTGCAGCGGGATGACGCAGAGATTCGTCCGATCATCGATCATTTAGAGGGCCAGGACACAATCATACCACGTCATTTATCCCGCTCGTTGCCGTCATTCTGCCTTCGAGAGGGTGTGCTGTACAAGAAGAACGCTCGTTCGAACAACCGTACCTACCTCCTGGTGGTTCCTCGAGACATGCGAGACGACGTCCTTTACGCTTGCCATGACGAACCCACATCCGGTCATCTGGGCTACTCACGGACACTTGCCAGAGTGAGTGAGAGGTATTATTGGCCAGGACTTTCGGCAAGCGTCAAGAAGTACGTCAAGAGCTGTCGGGAATGTCAGCGTCGAAAGCAACCATCTGTTAAGCCAGCTGGTTTGCTTCAGCCGATTGAAGCACCCTGCACGCCGTTCGACCAAGTCGGCATGGACATTCTCGGGCCATTCCCCCTATCTGTGGACAGCAACAAATGGGTGATCGTCGCGACCGACTATCTGACACGCTACGCTGAGACGCAGGCGATCCCACGAGCCACGGCTTCTGAGGTAGCACAATTTTTCATGCGCCACATTGTGTTACGACACGGTGCTCCTTCCACTATAATAACGGACAGAGGGACGGCATTCACGGCGCAGCTTATGGACGAGGTTTTCAAACTGAGCAACACCAGACACCGAAAGACAACTGCGTACCACCCGCAAACCAACGGACTTACCGAGCGACTGAATAAGACCATTGCAGACATGATCTCAATGTACATCGACGTACAGCACAAAACATGGGACCGGATCTTACCTTACGTGACCTTCGCGTATAATACCGCCGTGCAAGAGACCACGCGATTCACGCCATTTCGGCTTCTCTACGGCCGCGAAGTGCAGACCATGCTGGACTCTATGCTACCGTGTCAAGACAAAGACGAGTTGACAACTGACGCCGATGAATTCGCAGAGCGTGCTGAGGAAGCCCGGCAGCTCGCGCGACTACACATCGGCCAGCAACAGCAGGCAGACGCACGGCGCTATAACATCCGCCACAGTGAAGTGTTTTACAACCCCGGAGACCAAGTTTGGGTGTGGACGCCCGTCCGCCGCCGTGGCCTTAGTGAAAAGTTACTGAGCCGGTACTTTGGCCCTTATAAAGTGTTACGTCGCGTCAGTGACGTGAACTATGAAGTGGTTCCGGACTCAACATCGCAGGCACGGAGTAGGACACGACCGAGGTCGGATGTCGTTCATGTGTTGCGCATGAAACCATTTATTGCGCGTTGTTCATAACTTTTTTCTTGCAGTACAGCGTTCTTTGTGTTATTTATTTATTTTTGTGAACTTGCTTCTTCGTTCACTGATTTTTCCTATATTGGCACGCTCGTTCATTTCTATTTTTACTTTATCCGAATTTCCAATTTCTCTTTTTCCACGTGCCTATGTCGTAACATCGTGGTGGTGCTATGTACTTTTCTTTCCCCCTTTTGGGACTTTTTTTTTCTTTTCGAAAGGGGGGATAATGCCATCCACACGTAGTGGGTCGACTGCAAGAGCGGCTCTACCATCTGGAGGAAAGGAAGAAGAATTGCGTGTCTCTTCTCGGCTCGAGAGCCAGCCACGACTGACGCATCGTCCTAGAGCTAGCTACCCGGTTGTTCAATATATCTCCCAGTACTTGTGACTCATCGTGACAATATTGGTGGACTCTAACAATGGTTCATTAAGTATTTGCATTGCTTAGACAGGTTGGGTTGCTAAAATCTTGTTTAGCAGCAAAGTACCACAACTCATTTTGCTGTACAAATTTAGTCTGTATGGAGTCCTTAGCAAAAGTGTATGGCATTTCGCTGTGTCATCTTGATCTAGCATTGTTGACTGTCTTTTCATTAAAGTCAACAATGTCATTAAAGTCAACAAGTACATGAAAGGTTATGGTCTCTTTTCAACCTTCTGCATGGTTGATTTTGCTTTATTTGTCAGCTCGGACATGAATTTATTACAGTTGAAAAAAACTTGATCTGTTAGAGCCCAATTTTGCTACGTTCTTGATTCGACGAAGAAATGTCCATTCTTCAGCAAGTGCCCATAGAGCTTAATTTTGCCATCCCCTCAAGTGAATTAAACTAACTTGGCTCCTAACTTGAGTTTTTTTCCCTGAAATGAATGAGCACAACTGGGGCAGTTCCTTTCTAATTTGACGCAGACAGGTTTTTCTTTGAGTGCATGTTCTAACGCTGTCGATTTGAAACGTGTAGCCACCTTAGTCACGACAGTAGTTTTATATTTTGACAAGGCTAAGTCTAGGCCCAGGCAAAAAACATCGGACAGACTGAACAGTTGGTAGCTCTCTTATCTTACAGATGGTGCTTGAGGCAGTGGCGTTTTGTTGTCCCTCTCTAGAAATGCTTCCCAGCAACACAATGATGATTGCCTTCGTTATTCCTTGGTTTATGTGACTGATAACATTGATCACATTCTCGCGCAACATTTTTCGCTTTTTGGTCTGCTCGCACAGTCACCCCTATCGTTTCCTTATCTTCGTTTGTCGGCAGCCTGTCACAGCTTAATGTTACCGTCTACCTGTTTGGCATTGCACAATCATGGCAATGTTTACGTCTGGGCCACCCTTGTGACTTTCATACGCACAGGTTTTGTGAGGTAGCTTTCCTGTGTCGCTGGTTACTGTTACAGATATTTAAGAACTGAAAAATACTTTTCCTGATTTTACAAATTTCATGATTTAACTAGATGATACAAGCTAGGTCATCTTTGTTAAATCAGATCTCAGCTGTATTATCTTAGGGCATGGGCATTTATGCTATAATGTAATCATGTCATGAATTTTTATGCATGTGGTTGTCGTTTTATTGTTACAACCTTTCACATTGTATAACCTATTGTTTGAATTCCTTCAGGGTCCTTACATAGCCGGAGTAACATTAGCAGCTCACGAGTGTGGCACTGTGGATTTTCCCGAACCTCCTTACCCTGATGAGTAAGTACACATCACATCATTGGCACTATGGTTGCAACAGTTGTTAATATTATGAGCTACAGTGTACCATGTGTCCAAGTAGTAATTGTAGTGGTGCTGAACATATTTATGCAATGTCAACATTTAATATGAATGTGTAATGGGCGTGACTGGATTTCCTATGTCAGCCCCAATGCAAACGATTACGGAGTATTTTGCAATTGTGCTTTCAGGATAATCTGCCCTGAAGAGTCTAGTCCTGGTGCCCATGTCGGCATCTTGAAAGTGATGAGCAAAGTGAGACTAGAAGCATTTATGTGGGTGAGTAAAATGCGTGCATGGTTCCTTTTCATATTTGAGTGAATTACTAAGTTATGCATTGGAGGTACGAGTGATAACGCACTGCAAATTTCAAACCGAAGGATGCAACACTAAAGCAACATGGCAGCACAGCGAGGAATAGTGGGGCGCATGACTGATTGCATTGAGGCCTCGTGTAGTCTAACCTAACTCGTCGGTTGATGTCACTGGTGTTGTCACCAGGAGCACGAAGTTAACAGACGAGTCAAACAAAATTTCTGCATATTTTACCAGTTTTATAGAAATTCACTTCTATCTCGTTTCTTTCCCACTACTCTACCTTGCCAGAAGCTCCCCGAACAAAGCATCTTGCTGTCTTCTGATAGTCTCTTGTCATTAGTAGTAGTAGCTGCAAGTGCTCAAAGTGATGGTACTTTTTTTGTTCTCTTAACGATAGGAAGTACTAAGGATAATTGGTTCACATTGCGGAATTACTGTATTCGACATGTTTGGAATTACGAGCTAGAGATACCTTTGTGTCGCAACGAGAATTTGTTTTGTAGTATGCATTGGACGTCAGATAGGCCTGGCAGGGGTGTAGGTACACTGTGAATGCTAATTAAATGTTTATTAGAGAAGTGTACAAAAGAGGAACATCTGTTGAAAAAAAAAAAAAAGCTGGAAATAACGAAGCACGTGCAAACAAACCAGGATAATCAAACTTGGGACCATGCTTCTTTGAAGAAGTATCACAGCCCACCTAAGCAGGTTAAATAAAAATATAAAACCTTACCTTTATATTGTCTGTTTATGTGCATTTTCTAACCTTTTTGTAAAGGTAAATTAAGCAAGTAATTTAAATTGAGCTAATTTTTTGAAAACAAGTTTAGAGAGAGAGACGGAAAGTGACAAAGAAAAGGAATTAAAAAAAAAGGTGAAGGGTGAATTGAGGCTTTTTTAATGTAGCCTAGGGAAGATAAACAGATCAAGAGTGAATTAATTTCTGCAGGGAGCAGGCACTGCATTGGGAGAACTGCCACCATATTTCATGGCAAGAGCCGGTGAGTATATTGTGCAGACTTCAGTGCCCATTAGCACCATGCCTGCGCAAAAATACTAAAGGAGACAAATAATTTTATTTTCAAGCGAGGTTGTCTGGCAATGAAGACCTCGAGGATCTCGAAGAGTTGGAGGAACTCATGGAGAAAGAGAAGACTAAGGACCTGGTAAGCAATCGGTGTTTGGGTTTTTTGTGTATTGACGTAATTCTGCTGCGAACTGGCCCTCACCTTGAATGTTCAATTGCAGTCTGTTCTGGACAAGGCAAAGCTGGCCGTGGAAAAACTAGTGGAGAGAGTCGGCTTCTTGGGTATCCTGGCCTGTGCCTCGGTTTGTGCTTTGCTTGGTATTGGTAAATGTTTGTGCCGTTACATAAACCCGGCAAGCCCCATTTCGTTTGCGATGTGTACCATTGATTACGCTTGTTTGTGTGATATTGCTCTATTCTGTTTGTTCAATGTCACTTTCGTGCATGTTCGGGTGGGACCCACCTGCTTTGATTAAGGCTGGTGGAGGATCGGTTCAATTTCGTGGGAGCTATGAAGCCATATCTTGCCTGCCATCAAAGTAGTAAATCAACTTGTGCATATCACACTTCTCTGCAAAAAATGATGTGTGAGAAATTGTGCTGTTGTAATTTTCTTGGAATTCTTAATTAGAATAAACAACTGAAAGAACTGTCAGTGAAGCTCTGAATTTTTGCAGGGATCTAATAAATAACTTGCTGATTCTGGAGTTAATGCGGTAGTATGAGTGTCATTTCCATATACTGGTAATTCTTTGCTTACAGTGGCATGATCCATCACCAATTACTGCTGGGGCTTTGACGGCATCTCATGGGGCTGACTTGGCTTACGCTCTCTTTTGTTCATTCTTTTACGGGTGTTTAGGCTACATCTTGGCACTTCCTTGTTGTACTATGTACTGCAGATCCCCAATCCGCTGTTTGACCTGGCCGGCATAACTTGTGGACACTTCCTGGTTCCCTTCTGGACCTTCTTTGGGGCCACCTTGATTGGCAAGGCTGTCATCAAAATGCACATCCAGAAGCTTTTTGTCATCATTGCCTTCAACGAGAACCACGTTGAACTCTTGCTCAAAATGCTCAGGTTAGCTATTATTGCCTCTGACCTGTCTGCGCTATGTATTATACAATAAGACCTCATCGACTCGATACTATAAAAATACAAAAAAAAGTTTAGATAAGCAGGATCTCAAGAATACAAGCTCATTGGCTGCATAAGGCACAAGTCGAGTTTCCAAGGTAACAGTGGTAGTGGATATTCTCTATTGATCACTTTTATCAATAGGCTTTCAATAGGCTTGAATGCTGGCCCGAAAGTCGCAGGTTCGAATCCTGGTCACGGGGGTGGCATTTTGATGTAGGCGATATGCTAGAGGCCTGTATGTTTAGATCTAGGTGCATGTTAAGGCATCCCTGGGGGTTAAAATTCCTGGAGCCCTTGATTATGGCATCACTCATAATTGTATTATGGTTTCGTGACGTAAAGCCATAACAGTTATATTCATATTACAGTAGACTCTCGTCAAACAAAACCTGAAGAGACCATAACAACGCATTTCGCTAACTAATTTTGTTGGTGGCAATTATTCCAATTAAGCATGAGTCTCATTTAGGGAGTTTCTGTATACTGAAGTCTACTTTGATCAATGGGTCGTGTTGATTGTTTGAGTTGCGTGCAGAAGCATTACTGGCACTGTATCAAGGTAGTGTGCTTGACTTTGTATCACAATTGTCTATACAAGTTGACGTTTATCCTAATGCAATGTAAAAAGTTCGTCACTGTGTCTTAGTGTGCAAAAAGTGAATTCTAAATTTTGCAGCTCGATTGATTGCCGAATTTTAACCTACGGAACTAAAGCCTTCAGTAGAATGAATGCAAGTGATAACCCGTAAAATATGCTATGTCTTAACATTGGCTATACTTGGAACATGTAAGCCAATTTAACAGGCTTCTCAACCTAAATATTGAATCGATGCGAGGGTCGTACGTTCAATTTAACCTTAGAGCCGTGCTGCACGGCAGTATGGATTTTTTTTCTGGATAGGTGTATTGGTAAAGCTCCCGTCCATGCAGTGAAGCCATTTTTACACAGGGTTACATGTAGATTAATGTACACTGATTAGTTCATTTTGAATACTTCGAAATTTATAACTTCTATTCTTTAGAACATTCGAGCGCTTGAATATTTGCGCAAGTCTAGAAGAGACATTTCGTGACTTTTCTGCTATGGGAAGGGCACATGCGCCGGGGCATTGTAAAAAAGAATTTTCAGGCTTGTTGCATACACGTATTCTGCAGGAGCACGGGCCACTAGCGCGAGTTTGGTCTTAGCCAGCCGCAGGGCCGCGTTCATCGTCGCCTCGCGTGACTAATGCCGCTGCAAGCGCGTGTTTGAACAGCCAAGGCGCCAAGCGCAGCGGGGCAAGTACACAGTACTGCTCTCAAACAAGTCTCAACACTTCATTGCCTGCGGCAACACCATAAGCGCAGTACAGTGCATGTTACAAAGGCAGCAGGAAATCAAAAGAGGCTTATCCACGCCACCAGTGAAAGTACAACACAAAGATGCCGCGAGCAGGTCTTTGTGGGCAAAAGGGTTCACGGTGACATGCCGCTGAGGGGAACGGGCCCTTGCGACCATGCTGCGCGCTCTCACTATCAGTGACCATTGGGCCCGATCTTTGAGCTAGGGCAAACGCCGTTCACGTTGGATTCAAGAGGCATGGCTTGGCATAGTAAGACCTCACAAACGCACCTCACTGCTCTTCGGCGTAGCGCTCGGAAAGGGCAACGAAAGGTAAGCATTCACCGAGGGCACAAAGCACCGTTCGTGAGTCGAAGCGAGTTTCATGAACAAAGGGAGCGATGGACGCAAAGAAAAGCTGTGCTCACCCTTCGCTGTCCGGAGAGGATCTCTCCGACTTCCGCCGTGCGCACATGAAATGTCCCGGGAAACTCTAGCGCAGGGCCACAGTCTGCATCCGCTACCTGGTGAGAGGGGTCAACGTCACTCCCAGCACCGACAGACTGCGGAGGAGGGAAGAGTCAAGTTAGGACATGAGGATGGCTGAAATGGGCCGAAAGGCCTGCGCAGTGGCGACAGGCTAGCCTCAATTCCCACAGAATTGTCTTGTTGGAAAGATGATGTGTGTCAGACTATTTTTTTTCTTCCAGGTGAAAACAAAGATGTGCCTTTCTTGGAGAAGTGTAGGTTTGTGCTAAGGAGTATTTTCAGGCTTTTGGAAAAACTGAGCGTTGTCGCCACTATTAGTGTGGTGGTTGTACGACATCCATATTACACAACAGTTGTGCGCGATACCCTCAGAGTTGTATTATATGGGTTCTACTGTATTTTGACACTCGTCATGAAGAAGTGTGTTTATCTGAGATTTTAAATGCAAAAAAGTTTCGGTGCCACTACAGAGGAAGACTGAGGTGGTCAACTGAAAGTTCTTGTGGAGCTTAATACTTCGCTTCAAACGTTTCATTGAACAGTTCCAAGATAACGAAACAAAAATTGCCAATTTTTCTAACTTTATTATATCGAGGTTAGGAAGCGTTTTCTTGTACATTCTTTTAGTTTGAGATTGGCTTGTTTGCCGAGAATAAATGAGCCTTTGAGGCTTTGTTGCATTGTAATAGTAGAAGTATTTTGTATATATCATTGCAGATACATCCCCTATGTGGGTCGCTTTCTTCAAGCCCCATTCAAGGAATTCCTGGCCAAGCAAAAGGCCAAGCTGCATCGAAAAGTGGGCTCCCATGTGGCTCAGGTGAGCAGCATTCCCATTCCTTTTTTTCTTCCTCGTCACAATAAGATCTCATGTACGCTTCATTTTGCGCTGTGGTAGTTCACCACACAATGAGATTGACCTCTCACTAATTAAATTGTCCACATTGAATAGGAATTAAACCTATATGATAGCTTTTAATATTTTCAGTTCTTGAAGCTAAAAAAAAGATACCGGCAAAATGTCATTCACTTTCACATTAGCGCAACACATGCCAACAGGCATCATTTTTATGCAGTGCGTTGACAATCATCATTAAACAGTCTTCAAAATGGAGTGCGTGAAATGAATGATGAATTTGGTGATGCATCTTCTGTGTGAATAGTATTTTTGTTCATGATAAAAAAATATCAAGGCTATGTTATTGCATTGATGCCACAGTTGAAAGCACTTATTCGCTTGTCGCATAACTGCCCTGGACTACCATGTAAGCCGGTTACACAAGCGGAATGTTTTAAGTATTTAAGTAGGGGTGTGCGAGTAATCGAAATTTCAAATATTTTCCGAAGAGGGTTTGCTATTCAATTTTATTTGCACTCAAATATTGCTATTCAAAATTATTCGAACTTCCCAAAGACAAATTACCATCCTCAAATTGGCAGTGACCCCTTTAGATTTTGTATTAGCTTCACCCCATCACACTCTCAAATTGTGGCAAAGCTATCTTTCAGCCTCTGCTACAGTCGTTAGTTTAATTTAATCAATAAAATGCTGGTTCCAAAGTGGAGATGATAGATGTGGCAGAGGTGGGCGCTCAATAATGCTGTTTTGTTTGGACCTGAAAATTGAGCAGGAAGTCTGAAAAATCACCGAATGCCACATATTTACCATTCAAAATTTCGAGTGTTATATATATATATATATATATATATATATATATATATATATATATATATATATATATATATATATATATATATATATATATATATATATATAATGTAGGAAACTATGCAAACGATGACGAAGAAGCAAGAAACAGCAAGCCACAGCGTTGGTGCACACGCGCGACCCGAGCTTGCGCTTGTTTTGTATTTTCGGCCTGTTGACGTTCCTCGCTCTTCTGGCGTTCCTTGGCCTTCCAGTAGGTCTATACGTAAATAAACTACGTGACATCTGGTGGAGGTGCTGGGTATCACTAACAGTCACCTCCGACCTTCAGACGTGTAATTCCGCCCGCCGATAGAGGAGGTCGTCTCGAATAGCGAAATGTGTGGCTTGACGGCGGATAGTTCTTGAGACCAAATTAGCTGACGGATCAGTCAGAAAGGCGAGGAGTTGGGAAATACACACATCTTTGCGTGACAAACTACGTGACAATATATATATATATATATATATATATATATATATTGACATAGGGCATATTTGGAATTCTGGATGTGATGGGAGCACACCCTTGCCCACCACATTCGTTGGACTTCCACAAAAGTTCAAAGAGGAGGAGACGCTGAGGAAATAGCTTATCTGCCATTCATGTGTATATATTTGCCATTCGTGTGTAAAGTGTTATCGGGAAGGCTACTTACACCAGATCATGTACAGAAATACAATTGGCCTCTGCATTGCCTCATTTTCGATAAGATAGCTACGATACACCAACCTATCAGCACTTCATAAACCTAGCCAAAAGAAACACTTTCATGTTGCTATCTTTTAAGAATGTGCCCAAGAATCCTCCACCTCTCTTTTTTCCTAGAAGTATGTTTGAAAAATATGCAATTCAATGCACACTTGCAGTTTCAAGATTCCAGATCCCTTTGCACCCAAAGTTTTGCTATTCACACAAATCAGTCAACCTACAAGGTGCCGAGGGGACACTGTTTTTTTCTTATATTTGTTTACCTAGATCTTGGCTCAGCGTTGCCCTGCAAAATCCAGGGCTATAGGTGTAATGTTAAAAGAAAGCAGAGTGGGTCAGGGAACAAACACGTGCTTAAAGGGTACTGACATGGAAACTTTCAGTTGTCGTTCTTTTCATGTCAAATGAGAAGTCTAGAAAATGTGTAGCTAGAAGTTATGGCAGCGTGTTTTTAAAAGCTACTTTTGGTACCTACTGTACCCCGACGTCTCAACACGGTATGAGCTTCTCACATGTGCGCGCGCGCGAGATATTGCGATATCTCCATGGCCAGTCTGCTTTCTAATTCTTTTGCCGACGTACTAGCGGCCGTTTTGGAAGTTTCAGTATCTTATGGCATCACAGCCAGCCAGTCTGCTGGGTGCTTCGCTTTAATATCAAAATAAAATAGCTTATTGGCATTTGCTGAGCTTCAAACTTTCCCAGAGCTGTTTGTTTTTACAGGAGATTTTCATGGCAGTGCAAAGCCACCTTTTAAAAATGGTGTCGGCACCTCTTTAAGGACATTGTAGTTGGAATTGAGAGGTAAGCATGGGCATGGTGTGTAGCAAGAAGCCCAGATAACTTCTGGTCATTAAACATTACTGACTCAATTCTACGCGAATGCAAGTGAGCAAAGGGAAAGCAGGGTGTTAGCTCAGCAGACAAGATTTTAGAAATTTGTCAAATAACATGGCTGTAGTGAGCACAGGACCCTATTAATTATAGAAACATGGAAGAGGTCTCTGCCATACAGTGGCTGTTGTTGGGCTGATCATGCTAATGTAGCCCTCGCTAGGGACCGTAAAGAGAAACAATGACTCGGTTTAGATTTATAAACTGCACTCCGAGGACTCAAACGCCACATGTTTCACTATCATAGGTTCATTCTTTGTTGAGAAAATTGAGGTGGATGTTTGATTTTTAACTTTCATGTTGAAATCTCCTCTCATGGCGTCAAAGATTTCAAAATGTATTTTTCGTGTTTTTGCAACGTTGCCTCGATGAAATTTTCTGAAGCTTTGTATGCTATGGTTCCTGGCACCCACAGGTGACAATGTACATCCATTTTTTATCAGTTAGAAGCTATGTAGGACCCAGTGAACGCTTTCAAAATCTGTGATGTGATAGTGTTTGGTGTGAGAATTTCAAGGTGCCGTGTCCACCCGCATTTTCTTTTCACGCGTTTTCTCACTTGCCAAGTGTCATCTTGCAGTTAGAGTGGCATTCCCGGTATTGTGATACAGTACTTTACTAAAATGTGCAAAATCGTTGTTCTCTTTAGTGCTCCTTTAATGCTTTCTTACCAACACCGTCTTGGTTGCTGCAGGAGGGTTCACTGCTCGCTTGGCTCTTCGAGAAGCTGGTTTTGGGCATGATCATCTACTTCGTGCTCTCCATCGTCAACTCGATGGCTCAGAGCTACCACCGGCGACTTTCCAAGGGCCAGAAAGCCGCTCTGGCACCACGCGGCAAGGTGGCCATCAGTTGAGCTTGGGTTGTGTGCCGCTCTTCTGCATGGCGTGGGGCCCACTTGCAGAAGACGATGCCGTATGTGGACTACTACTGACTAAAGTGTGCCACATGTAAAGGACTGCTAGACAAAAATGCTGCACTCGCATCCCCCCCCCCCCCTCCCTGTTTGCCATTGCTGGAACTCATTCGCACCTTATTTTTCGGCCGTCCGAGATTTTCTCTTTCCACTCAGCCTGTGAAATGGTGAAAAAAGCGAACATAACATTTTTTTTTCTCCATATTTTTTTCACTTTTTCATCTAGCCACTGCAACAAACTTTTTTTCTTTTCTTGAGTGCAGGACCCTTTCTTTATTTCGTTGTGCTTTGCAAAGTTTTGTTGTTGCTGTATAAAAGTTTTGTTGCTTACACAATGTGTACATAGAAGTGTGTAGTTGCATCGAAAGGCTTATGCAAGAAGTTTCATGTTAAGTGCACAACGAAGCTGAGGGTCTGATGAAATCTTGTCTGGTCGGGAGAAACATTGATGGACACCGACCAATGTGAAAAATGTTTACCGATGTTCAAAAATGTTTACCGATGTTCATTGTAAACGGGGCTCTCGTGTGGCAGCTGAACTATCGGTAAAGATTTTTACCTTGGTCAGTGTTTGTGAACGTCTTCTCTTAAGTGCACAAATCAGTGCCTAAAGTGGGGCTCTTCTTTTTTTATATATATATTAAATTTTGTCTCTGTTTCCAATAGTGTTCCTTTGGCTCTGCTAGAAAATTCTGGATTTAATTAAATCAGTGCAGTGCAAAAAAAAAAAGTTCTGAGATGACAAGATCCCTGTTGTATTATGCAGATTTTCAGCAGGAAAAGCACTTTCCGCTTTTGTCTCATGTGAGATTGTCGGACCCTCGCCACATTCTATACGAGGTCTTTCCTGTTGTCTTATTAATTTCTTCCTCGTCAGGCCTACAATCGAAGAATAATATATTTGCTGCTCTTTCGCAGCTTTATTGTACCAGTTCATTTTTGGGTTGTCGCATCGCCTGTGAGGCAGTCTTTTCATGACTATACAGTGTGGGCTATGAGGGTGACAAAGAGCTGGTCTTGGAATTTCCCTTTAATTTTGCAGAAGAGTGAAGCACTCCTTGCTTCTTGAATTAAAAAAAAAATGAGCCCATTGCATGTAGTAAGCACTGCATTACTATGATTAGTATGCAGGAAAAAGCTATTGAATGTGAGCAGTTTGTACTGCGATTGTAAGAGGTTGTGATATCAATAGAGCAAGGGAGACTGTAGTATTGGTTTGTTTTGAACGGCTGCCAAGTATTCAGGTCATGCTAAACGGTAGCCTTGCTTAGTGTGGCGTTCGTCCAAGTGCAAAGATAAAGGAACTGTAAATTGCATTTGTTTTGAATGTGACTGTTGATGAGCTGTTTCACGTCACGAGGGCATGCAACTAGATTAGCTTCAAGGCTGCAACTCTATCCGGGTGCTACATTGGTATCCGCCAATTTAACTCTGGTCATGTAACTTATGTTTTAGAGCTGCCACTGCATGAAGCATTAGAGCTTATATGAATGATTGTCTCTCCCTATTTCAAGCTGTCCAATTGACATTCCCGTATCACTTACAGGACCCTGTACTTTTTTGTCTATTGCAAGTGAATGCTTTATTTCACACTGTACATGTGGGAGGTGGCTCGAACGAAACCCCCCCCCCCCTTTTTTTTTTTGCAAGTATGCATTTGTGGTTGAGCATGATTGATCAACCAGGAATGTTGAGCTTGGCACTCGTGAAAATTGGGGAGAATTGTTCCTTAGTTAGATCACCATGTTTTATTCAGACTGGCCTAAACACTCCTGAAATGTAAAAAATTATATATATTTAATAAAGAAATCTATACAGATTACTATCAGCACATTATCTCACTTGCCCAGCACCAGCTTCATTTTCACACTACTCATGCACACATGAGTTGTTACACCAATGCAAACAAACCTCCCAATTAAAAACTTGGATACGTAATATACTCCAACACATTCCCAGAAAAATGCTACTACCAAAAGGTTTGCTTCGGAATATTGCATAAGAAGGAACAGTGAAAGTCCACTTGCGACGAACAGGATAGGATTTCACAACATTCAGAGAGGTTTGTGGGGCATAAACAATAACAACTGGTCTTTTGCTAAAGCTACACTTGTGCCCAAACACATAACTTGCCGAACAACACACACTGAGCATGTAGAAAATACCATCACACTATCCAAGAGCCTACTCGTCAAAGGGACCGACTACTAATTTTAATTGTAGCTATTTTCTTCAGCACAAAGAAAAGGTTACCAGTACGAGTATCTAACGGCGGATTGGTAACGTGGAAAATGCCACAAAACATTTCTAAACAAGTTTTCTATCTGTGGTGCATATAAAGCTATACACAGGGGACAATGCATGTTGCAAACATTGCATGCGAGAGCGATTTGCGTTTTAGCACGGTGGTTTACTGCGCATGTTCCTTGACTCCACATAGACCACTTGTCACCCTGCTTTGTACCAAGTAAGCACAGAATTTTTAGGGTGGTGGTCAATAATGTGCAATAATTAATATGGTGCACATGACAGCACCAGACTATGAGGTTACGTGCAGCAAAGAAATAGACTTCATAATCAAGCTTCAAGGCTGTCCCGCTAGGCTGCACTTAGCTCACCAAAAGAATGGTTACGTCAATTCACGGTCTTTTCGTTTCCACCAGAAACTCTCTAAAACGTGGCCAGTTGTGGGCCCCTTTAAAGCAAGCAATGCTATCTTTACATGCCTTAACCACGATTATATTCAGGAGCTAGATAGAGAAGTTGACAACGGGCTTGGATATGCCTACCGCCTAAAATATTTACCCAGAAAATTCCTCGTGTTATGGAAGTTTGTTGGGCACAAATAATGTTGCGGTATTTCGCTAAATCTATGGCCACTTGAGCCCAAGAACACAACTTGCCAAGCAGCACATTTTGAGCACGTGAATACTATCACAGTATTTAAAAGTCAACTCGTTAAAGCAAGCAATTCCTTCTCTACATGCCTTAACCACGATTATATTAAAGAAGCTAGATACGGCTTTCGTCTTTTTTTTTCTTTAAGTACGCTAAGCGAGCGGCAATTATATATAGCCGCGTATACATTATATATGGTCTCGGTCCTTCGAGGAAACGCCGTTCGAGTATTTCAGTAATACACCGAGTCAAAGGTAAGCTTTGACGTTTCTCTCACGTCCTCCTTGAATGCCAGGAACTGATCCATGCTGACAGGCGCGAATCGCTTTACTCTGAACTGAGCGAGCTGCTTGGCGCCCTCGGAGAACTGCGACATCTCGAGTAACGCGTCTTTAAGGGCCAGCTTGGTTTCCTGGGGCAGCTCTCTCCTGACAACTATGGGGTACGGGGGCAGCGATCCCCAGGACTCGATCACGAACACCTGATCCTTGTAGAACGGGTTGCGGTCGAAGAACAGCGCCAAGCAGTTCGCGTCTACAGCGGCGGCGTCCACTTGCTTGTTGAGAACCATGTAGATGGAGTCCAGGTGCGACTTCGAGGGCAGCTTGTTGCCAAAAAACGTTGCCGTCTCGCCGCGTCGCTTGAGCACCTGGAGAGTTATCTGATTGCCGCTGAAGGACTCCGGGCCCGTATAGGCCCACCGGCAGCCGCGTAGTTTCTCGAACGAGTCGACGTTGGCTGCCTTCAAGTCGGCGTTGACGATTACGTCCGCGAAGTGGCCCGCATCGTCGCCACCCTTGCTGTGCTTGTGCACGGACGAAACTGGTAGCAGCTCGACGTGCTCGTTGCCCGCATCGTGCATGCGGACGAAAGCGAGCGGGCTCATGAAGGCAATGTCGACGTCTCCGTGGGCAAAAGGGTCGCGCCGGTCGGCTGGAGGTCCGAACCAGCGGGACTCGTAAGTCAACGTGGTGTGCACGTCCAGCCTCTGCTCGAGGTAATCCAGCACGGCCTGAAAGAACTCTACGGGGATTCCGGGGCTAAGGTAGGTCGCGGCGCGTATGACTTGCGGAGCCATTTCTTTCCTCGGCAGGCGTCGGCACTTTTATCAGCAAGCGTGAGAAGACCTTCGGTAACGGCGGCAAGCGAAGCCGGACGTCGGGTCTTGTCGAGACGTCGGCGTATCGCGTATCATACGACAGATGGGCATCCGTACAAAAACGCACGCGTAACAAAACAACACCATTCATACATTTCCAGTCACGGCCGCAGTTACTTTCAAATGCCTGTCACTTTCGCCTTGCGCAGTGCACTTTGTGCTGCGAGTCTAAACACTGAGCTTCAGGAGCGCTAGCTACCCAACAACTAGAAAAATGAGTAGGCATTACAAAATCATTTAAAACACTAATAAATGTTTTGGCATTATTTTTCTGTTTAGTAATACAAAAAATAACACACATTACTTATTACTTGCTTTGTTTGTTACATCATTGTTTTGTTACATCACTTTTGGATGCAAAATTGACGGCGTTTTCTTGCACATAGGAGCATAACTGTGAACCACGACGTTGAGAAAGTTGTGCGGTTAACGGACAGGCATAGCTAAGTTTATACGGTGGTTCATGCAACTAATTGCACGTGATCTGCACGTGACCGTAATTTAAACTATTCCTAAACCAACCGCATAATTAAGACCGCCCAGTAATTTTTCTAACCCCTAGTCAAAACAGTTTGGGCTACGATTTGAAAACTCTCAGGATTCCAGTGTTTTTTTTATTGTTTTTGACGGTTTTTCAGTGCCCTACACTGTACCTATGTCGCGAGTAGCGTCGTAGTATTACGAATCTCGCTCAGACTACAGTTTGGTCCGTTACGTAATTTTTTTATCAGCAGTATGTCAGCTATGCCTCTGATCGATAGAGTTTAATTGGTTTAATTGTGGCCCGCATGAGCGATCGAGAGAAGCGTTTTGTCGTCTGCTGCCGCTCCACACGTTCTTGATGATCGCGAGGATTGTCAGATATGATTTTTAGAAATTCGGCCTGAATTCGCGTTTCATCGGAACCGACATGGCATGTGCTTTAGTCAGACGTGGGCACTTCGTGCTTGAACGGTTCAAAGCGTATCCTGTTGTTTCAGTAACGACGAATTTCTCGACGCAAGGTGAGAACTCGTGCAAGGCCAGCATGCTTCTCGCTGTGTGGCTCTCCTGGTGTTACATTCTGGGCAAGCTTCTTACATTTCCTTTTTGTGATAGGACATAAAAGCTACGACCTGATTGTCATCGGTGGAGGATCGGGTGGCCTTGCGTGTGCAAAGGAAGGTAAACACTTGGATGCCACTTGACTATTGCCACTTGAGACGGAAATAGAACGTGTTTAGTCACACTTTTGTTGGCTATATAGGGCTATTGGATCATTTTCAGTAGAGTTTAAGGGTGCCAACTTGCATAGCATTGATGACATTATATACCTTGTCTCAATGAATTGTTTACATGGTGGGCTTGGCACTTCGTTTCGGAAATGTTACGGCATAGAACGCGCTGCTTTGTACGATAATTACGGAATAAATGAGTGTGTATCGATAGTCGGTCCTGAACGTATTGATATTTTGCTTAACTGGATTACCCACTCGCGCCAGATGCAGCATAGGCAATTATTAACCGCAATTACGAGAAATTGCATCATAAGTCCTGTCAGACTGCTAGTGTATTTACGAAGCATTGTCTTGACAATACTCTGAACGCTGAAAGTTGGACGGGTACGAATTGCGTGTATGATGGAGATTAATTTCACCCAAATGTTAATGTCCCTCCGTATTTCTTAGTAGTTTTTTTTTTTTTTTGTCATCCATGCACGGTCACAACTATCGTCACAGACCCCTTCTAGTGCACTGTAGTCACAACCACTGGTGTTGCAATAACTAGCTTTTGGGGGATGTTATACAGCACTGATAAAAAAAAAAAGAAAAGAAGTGTGTGCACGAACATTATCGTATTTGCTGTTTTTTTTTTTCAGTGTAAAATCTACATAAAAATACGAGAGCTCACTAAACTTTGGCGACTTGATCAGTAAACAATAATTTCCTAAAAAGACGCTCATAAAAAAGAATGCAAATGTACCCAGAACGTTACTGAATAATTATTGAACACAACAATAAAAGCCACTGTTTAGAATCAACGTGGAACTCTTGGGCAAGGAAAAAGAGCTAATAAAATGTGGTCGTGCAAATACACAATCTGTTAGTTTCTGTTAGTTCCTTTACTAGCTAAACATTACAAAAATTATATGGTCACCTCTGCATCTAAATGCACAGCAGTAGGTGGAGCCTGCAATAAGGCCACACATTCAGCTGTACCCACTACCTGTTGAAAAAAAACTAAGGAAGAGTTACTTAACTGACAACAGTATCCAGGTGAGTGTTAAGAAGTGCACCTCAGCAATGACTCCTGCAGCTTTGTAGCTTTAAGACAAGCCTTCAGAAGATTAAAAACTAATCTTGCTCTTTTGGCATGCTAATAGGCAATGCTGACATATGTCGCAAATGGTTGGTGAATGTTTGGATGCAAGGTCTTCGGGCAAAGGGAAGAAGCCTACGATGTAGAGCTGGTCCGAGTACCACCGTTCTTTCATTCTTGTCTCCAGATGAGAACTTTGGCGGGCAGCTCATTAAAAAAAGTAAGCGTCCCCTATAGAGCGAGGCAATTTTTTCGAAGTCTAGATCTTGTCCTGCTCCGGCAATGTTATGGGGCAGCTGTGTAGAAAAAAAAAGCTCGACGGTTAAAAGGCCAGGAAATGTGGTAATGGTTGGTGCAGCACTCAGGAATTCTATAGGGGTGTTCACTGTAATGCTGCCCCTGGCTATTCTCCTAGTCACATCTAGCAAAAACAAATCAGATACACAAATGTGTACACAATGCTAGGGTAGGAACACTATTACTGCATAATTATGATAGCAGTGGCATCCTGACAAGCACCCAATTTCCGGTTTGTATTAATACATGTAAAGGCATCAAGCTTTTCAAGAACAGCATTAATCGTATGGCTAAGCCACATGTGACCATGTGCACACATCAGACTCCTTCTTCCACTTTCTTTCCTCCATGTTCTGCCTCTTTTACTCTGCATCTCACAGCCAGTAGACCAGTTGCATGTGCAAATTTGTTATTTTTTAAACAGGAACTCTTGACATACCGTGTAAAATGCAGTGTAAATATGCCTACATAACCGTTCTGTTATATTTTACGTATTGAAATTATAGCATATCTAATAGTGCACGCTACATTTGTTTATCATTAGCTGTCAGTGCATTCTACAGGAAACCCAACATTGTAAATAGAACTAGCACCTTCTGCATGATGGACGGTGGAAAAGGTGGGGCGAGGCCCTCTTTGCATCCAAAGTGGGCCGGTGTGCGTATGATAATGTAACACTTCCCATGACTTGTGCTTGAACACAGCTCAGGCATGTGGCATGAAAGTGGCTGTGCTGGACGCCGTGTCGCCCTCTCCTCGGGGCAGCCGGTGGGGACTGGGGGGCACCTGCGTCAACGTTGGCTGCATACCCAAGAAGCTTTTCCACCAGGCAGCGCTGCTGGGTGAAGCACTGAAGGATGCGCACCTCTACGGCTGGAAGCTCCCTGGCCAAGCGGCGGCAGAACAGGACGGTGCAGTGAAGGCTAAGCTGAACCATGACTGGGCCGCCTTGAGAAATGCAGTGCAGGCGCATGTGCGGTCCCTCAACTGGGGACACCGAGTGCAGCTCAACAAGAAGTATGTCTTCGTAGAATGTTTAGATAGGCACAAAAGGGAGAAAAGGTCACACTGCTGAAAGCCTAGCTATTTTAGCTAGGTTATGTATATCTTCCTTGATCACACTTTGTGATTGAGCACAAATGGGCCCACATTTTGAGACAAATTGTGCATTAACACGGAAAGCTCCTGGAAGGTTCGGGTTATCATGCAAGATGTGCTGGTAGTTGGTTAGTCATGATGGTTTATGTTAGTACGCATAAGACAATAAGGACAACACTGAACCAAAAGAATAGACAACAAAAAAAACATGTAGTAGAAAAAAAAAGTAAAAGACAAAATACGAACCCAGAACTTCACTGTTGTTCACTGTTGATGAATGAAGTTACATATGCTCTAACACATGTGTTGCATCGCATGACAAAAAGCCTAATAAAAAGATGGCGTGCATAGATTTGAAAATTCAAGTTGTATAACAGAATTTATCACACATCAGTAAGAATAGCTAGGTTATCAAGTGATAAGCCAGTGTTCCTTGATAGTAGATTCATATAGATTCATATGTATCATACATGCAAAACAGTGAACCCTGTTGTGAAATGATATACGGTGCTTTCTGTAGCAGGTTTTTAAATGCTCGCACAAAACTTCTTAAAGGTGCATTGAAACACATTTGCTCATCTTTAGAGAAAACGGCAAGTGCAAATTGCTTAGTAAGGAAAGCCAGTGGAATGGTCATATTATTTTGTTGCTATAGAGAATGACGGGAATGTCACGGTCTATCTCCCATAACCCTAAGTACGCGGCACAGCACTGGTCATTTTGGCCATACAGATGTAATTTCTAGCAGCTATAGATAAACCGTATCCCACATGGCCTAATGTATAGTTTGAGGACGTTATAAATACTGCATTCAACTTTATTACAGGTAATTAGTCTAATGTATGGTTTGAGGACGTAACAAATACTGTATTCAACTCAATTACATGTAATTAGTCTAAGCTTGATAAAGAATCATCAACTTTTCAATTCTACATAAATAACACTGCCAAAACATCGTCCTTCCTGATTTCACTTCTTTGATAGTATCAATATAGTGCTTTGTATTTATGCATATTGCAAATCTACTGATTTGCTGCAAACAACTCCTTTAAGTGTACACTGACAAAAAAGTCACTTGAGATTTGACCACTCTCATATATATTGACTCATATATTTAATAATTCATCTAAACTTTGGTAATCATTGTAACTGTTCTATAAAAAATCACTTTTAGCTTTGCCACCTGCTTACTTGTTGGCTTGTTTTGCAAGCTTGCCACATTTAATACTACTGTATAGGTTGCATGTCAGTTCTCTAATGAGAGTACTGGGGCATCCTGAAGTCTATTTTAATGACATAGTTTATCATCGTTTATTTGGTTGAAGATCTCATAGCTGCCCAGTGGCCATTGAATTTTTCTGCTGAACGCTCTGTTGCAGATTTGATTGTTTCTTGTGTGAGATGTGAGCTAGAATCTAATAATACAGATTGTAAATGTGCTCATACGTCTCCTGGCTAGTAGTTATGGCTTTGAGTGACTGTTAAAAGAAGCACACATGATCAAGAATAATCTGACGTGCTCTGCTCCGGAATCCTGCATAACTTCTTGTATGGCTCCAGGACGTTACAAATACTGCAGTTTGATTAAAATATGTATAAATAGTATTAATTTTGAAAAAGGAGTGAGTACACACAGTGACAACTGTACTACATATGAAAATAGTAGTAAATGCAATCTGTGTGTCTATGCATGTTTACCTCCTTTCAGGTCCAACTCATACTAATAGGTAAAAGTATTTGTTCGATCAGACTGTCTTGCATTCTGTTCTCTCGAGATTGTAGAACGTCTTTTCCTATGTCGCGTCACTATATCAGGCATCCTGTTGAGCAGCTAATTGCCTCTTCCAAGCCAGTGGTGGCATGTTCCACCGCCTGGTAGAGCAGTGTAAAAAGGTAGTGACATTGTATGTAGAAGATATGAATGTGCCAAAGTGCACTTTCTTCCATGTTTCTTTCCTATTAATAATTGACTCACATCAGCATAAACTGGTCTTGTTCCTCTATGTCACCACTCTTTACTGCCATCTTGCTTATGGGAACCCTGTTCTCGGCACTAATGGTGCAATTTTTTTTTTCTCGTTGTGAAACTCGAGAATATCTAATTATGTCAAATTTTTACATTTGGTGTGACCTTGAGCAGTATTTTGTTGCAGCTGTGCTTTTTCTTCTTTTATATAAGGAAAGTGGACTACTACAATGCTCATGGAAAATTTATTGAATGCCAGAAGATAGTTGCCCAAGCTTCCAATGGCAAAGAGGTTAGTTTTTATGCCATGAAGTACTTTTCACTTGGACTAATGAACTAACAAAGTTGCTAAAAAATTCCACATGTGAAGTTTCATCACGTTTAGTTGGCCTAATGTTGCCAAATATTAAACAAAGTTTTGAAACTCATGGGCCGTGACTTTATGTCTGCAGATTTTGGCGTGAAATTAAAAGATGAAGCTTGTTTTGATACCCTCTTCGACTAGTAAACCTGAAATGGCAGTAATAATGACAGTAGAGTTGTCAGAGTACCACTGATTGGCCTTAACTGATTCATTATTTTGATTTAGTGTTCATTTAAGTACTCAGGCTGTCGTCGCTCAAAGGACTGTATTTTAAAAAATTAGCATCTTTTCATAGAATGAAAAGTTGTAGCGTGCTAGGGATCGAAAGGGATTAGAGGGATTGTAAGTGTGATGCATGGGCAGACTTACAAAAACTGTGGGCATTTAATTGGACATTGTGTGAAATTATTGCATTCGTATCAACTGCTTACCAGAGCCATTGCCCAAGTTTTTACAAAAGTTAGATGTCTAAAGGGGTCCTGCCAGCGGCTCTGGCAGAAATTCAGTTGTCACACTTTGCAAACATGAATAATTTATAAGTGTTTACACAAGCACATTTGATAAAGAGCTTATTTAAGCGATTGCCTTATCTAGTTTTGAAAATTTTCCACATGCTATTGTTTTAATCTTCATTGACAGGAAATCCTTGTGGCCAACAAGTTTGTTATTGCTGTGGGAGGCAGGCCAATCGTTCCGCAGGATGTACCTGGCCTTTCAGATAATGCTATTACGTCGGACGACATCTTCTCTCTGGAGAATCCACCAGGAAAGACGTGAGCATTTTATAACACTGCTTATCTTTAACTCTGTATGTTTCTTGCATTCACAAATAGTAGACACTTAGTTTCTATTTTCTCTATTTTTTTTGTTTTAACAGTCCTTCACAGTTTATTATTTATCTATCTGGTAGTTCTATGAACTCAAGTGTTTGATGAAAGCACGTCTAGTTAGGAATTAACCATTGCACAAGAGCAAGTACACCAACCACTTTTTAAGGCGATTGTTCACGTTTTATGTTTGTTCACATTTGTGAAGGTGGGTACTTTTGAACCAGGCTGACTCAGCATATTTGTGATCTAAGAATGAAAGTACATTTCTACAGGTGATATGGCAGAGTAGGCCAGCTGTCCCTCTGGAACCACCTGTTGCCATGGTGGCAAGTGCGCAACATTGAAAAGAGTGTTCTACACTCTTCTCAATGCTCACAAAAGCTTTGTAAGCCAGCTCATGAAATGATCACATGCTGTGTGACTCTAATTGGCAAAACAGAGCGCTCTGTGAATCCTGCCATGACTTCAAGTGGAACAGGCTAATGATCCCTGGTTTACGCATCCTGAAATACTCGATTAAGGGGATGGGTGAACAACTGCCATTTTAGCTTAATTGGTAGAGCACTGGATGCATTATCGGAGCATTGTAGGTGACTCCAAGTTTTTTTGGGCACTTTAATTTTATTCCATATATGCCATAATTTCTGCACTAAAAATAAAACTACAAATAAAGTCCTATATACCATGCTTGGATTCATTAGCAGTTGGCTTCATTACGTTCTATATTACAATGAAACAAGCTCCTTGAATCATTTCCCTTCTTTTGTTCTTAAAACATGGTCACTTTGCAAAAATAAGCAATGTTAGAATTTTTTTCTGCACGTATGCAGTACCACATAGTGCAAATTTTTCACATAACCGCTCTACCCTTGCGTTTTTCAGACTGGTGATAGGTGCGAGCTGTATCCTTTTTGCAGTAACTGTTGCAACATGCTTGCCTATGTTTGAAGTATGATCTTCTCATGCTGTGTGTGGTGCTTCTTAAGAATATTATGCCTTGATGAGGTCGATAGATGTTGCGTTAGAATGTGCTGGCTTCTTGAATGGACTTGGTTATGACACAACTGTGATGGTTAGGTCCATTTGCTTGCGGGGATTTGACCAGGTAAGCATATATTACTTTGTCATAGGCTAGAAAAGAAGAATCTTTTTCAATTCATCTGCCAACGAATGTTTTTGCACGAATTTACGTAAAAAGAGAGTATTCTGACAAGTTAACAATGCTAGCTCATATGTCAATAAGTAACTTCATAACTTCTTGAAAAAAAAGATTTATTATGAATTTTTTCGTCCGAACACATCTTTCAACCCCTAACCATCTTGCCAACTTCATAGACTATGTGTGTGTGTGTGTGTGTGTGTGTGTGTGTGTGTGTGTGTGTGTGTGTGTGTGTGTATATATATATATATATATATATATATATATATATATATATATATATATATATATATATATATGGGTGAGGCCTTGACATTCTACCTCACCCACATATTTCAAAACGACGAGTCATGGGAAAAGATCAAAAAAGAAATGATCGTTTGGTTCAAAGAATACAACGACGACTACGACGAAGATTTGCTTATAACCCACCATCGACAAACAATCGCACTCGGTCGCCGCAATCAAAAGCACTGGTCATGCATTGGGACACCAAAAATGAATCGGCCTTTGAAACAAGAGCGATTAAGGCACCCTCTCAATGAAAGGCAGCCAGATCTGTTTGCAGGAAGAGTGTACCCTCCACCGCACCGCGTTTTGCAACTGCCCGATCGAAAACCAACCTTTACATCATCACTGCACCGTAGCACTCACATTAGGGAGCCACCCTGTGCACAGTACTTTCCGTCTCGCGCACTTTGATAACCTTCTACTTTTCCGTCGCTTGGCTCTTCAGTTGCTCACAGCGCTCACCTCGCATTTCACATGCTTACTACGGTTGATATAGAGGTGAGGAACCCTGAAGATACTCAGCCAGGTTCTGGCCCTTCTGTGCAGATGCATGCATCAGAACAGCTTAACTCGTTAGTTACACAGAAAGACAAACGTTTCCGACTGAAATCTGACCAAACTACGCCTGCTGCGGTGTCACCATCTAGTGCACGGACACCTGGGAGTCTTAACAACACAGGAGGCTCGGAAGTATCAAAAAGCACATGTTGCCGAGAGCCAGAAGCGTCTATTAGGAACAGCGTCACAAGAGCCTCCGAAGAGTCTCCAGTAAATTCGAGCATACAACCTTCATTACCCGAAATGCAGCATAACAGTCCACTGACTACCACCTGCCTACTGGACACCACTTCAAGTTGCTCAGAAAATCAGTGTCATGGTCAAAAAGGGCTGCCACCTCAGCTCTTTTTGCAGCAACTTCATCAATGCCAGCAAGTCCAAGAACAGCAGAAATTCCAAGGGCTATACGAACAAGGACAATTACGAACACAAACATCATCGGATGATCACTCAAGAGTTAAACGAAGGCGTCTACAAGCTAGTCAAGTGAAGCGACGACAAATTCAATATGTCTCGCTTAAGACAAACAAGTCTTCTGATTCAAGATGTTTTCGCAAAAAGGAACATCGCACAAGTTTTCTCCAGGAGAGATTAAGACTCAGTCTACAATCAAAGCTGTTGAGACAACAGAACACAAAACGACGAAGAAGGCGCAAAAGCACACCCTGTATTCCGGAAAAACTCGGAAATCAGCTCATCAGTCTTGGACAACAAACACGCAGACGGGTGGCACTGCATGTGTACCAATCAAGGCAAAGAGCACGACGCCTACACAAATCATGCTGCTGGTTCTCCAAAGCCTTCACACCACGTTCATTCTTTGCAAGTATAGAATCAGTTTCATCATCTGCAGTTTCCACGTGCAAGGTGTACTTGTGTTTTTCAGTACGCAACAGTCAGCCTCGCCCACCAGAACTCCAGCACTTACCGGACTGCTGCACTCTCCTGTGAAGCTAAAGTGTGTTTACGGAAACTTCCCGGGACATGGAACGATCTTCTCTTTTTTTGACTGTGTTCACTTTTAAGTCCTGCATGTTCAGTTTATAATTTCTGTAAAGCGATGGTTAGGAGTTATAAGTAGAAGCCGAGAAGGAAGAAGTGCTTTTGGAATAAACATAGCATATGAGCCAGGCCACGTCACCCATTCATCATAGCGTCACACACACACACACAGACACACACACACACACACATATACACACACACACATTTATTTTAGGGGCCAAGCACCTTATGATGGCACAATGTCCCTCCGTCCATAAACGGCCACTCAGTGCCTACAGGAGATGTCGGAACTAAAACATCTGTGAACAAAAAAGTTTATCAAAGGGCTGTTGACCACAACAAATAAAATGAAAGGTTAGACACCAGAAAAACACCAATATTTAACCACCCATCAATCAAGGCATATGATAGAACAGCAGGTTATTAAGAACAAAAGTAAAGGCTCTTAACCAGAATAATATAGAAAGCCAAAATTCATGATTCTTTTCACACTGCTTCACCCGATCATCAGCGTTCACTTTGTCAGCGTTCACTTTTAATCAGGCCTTTGTACTTAGGTGATATTGGTATAGGTGCCACATACTCGTACACACTCCACAAGTTGCAGTATGTGAGAATGTGTACATTTTATGCAGTTATTTAATTGTTTCATTCTCTTTATGAATAACACTGAATGAAATTTACTCACATTTTGTCATTTTCCTTGTTGTGTGTGAGTTTCAGTTTAAACATATACATTTAAAGCTAAATAAATACATTCCATGTCTGGCTACTAAAATGTGTTGCTTTGAAAGACTCAATGTGCATAACAAGTTCAGTGCATTAGTTTCAACTCGGCAATCTATACTTTCATAGGATCTATCATTTCTTATTACATGTGTGTAGCCTCACGTGCCAGCAGTTGTAAGAAGTGTGTCATTTACGTTTCACGTTTTCATGCTATGATCTCTTTATTGTAGTGAGGTTCCGTTCATCTGCATTTACTGGCTCACGCCTTGTTATTTGGCCATTCTTAGATGTCAGCATTGCATATGAGGTTCTCCCTCCCCCATTTTAGCAAATGGCCAAGCTTGTGACTGACCACATGACATCAGAAGGAACAAAGTTCCTCTGGAAGTGCCTGCCCAAGGAGGTGAATAAACTTCCAGATGGAAAGCTGAAGGTCAAGTGGTGTAGTTCTGACGGTAAAATCCAGGAGGACATTTTTGACACCGTCTTGGTAGCTGTTGGTGAGTATCGAATCAGGTGCGCACGTGCGGTATTTAAATTAATATTTGTAGTATGATTCACTGCTATTCATAAGCAGACAAAAAAGGATATAGTTTTTTCTTTACAAAATTGCATGCCTAATGTGTGCATATAGTTTTGACTGAACATGGCTGTGGTATGTTTGCATACTCTGATGGGGTTCCTTTTGTCGTGTTACTAAAGAAGGTCCTTGAGCAGTTGTAGTGTCTGTAACAGGCTTTAAGTGATACAGCCCAAGCAAAAAATAGTTGTACCTGGTGGTTGGCAGATGTGATGGAAATTGTAGGCCAGAATGTTCCTGGCATTCAGCACAAACAAGTGCCAAATTATCTTGGAGCTTACGCACCATTTTTCAGTGTTCTGGGTTTTGTGTCATTTTCGATGAACTGGAGCAAAAGTGTTTTAGTCTTTCAATGCATATATTTAAAACTTTGCAAAGAGGCTCTTTGATACACTTAATGGAGTGCAGATTCTTTCTTTAAACACTGTCTAAAATAAGTGCTGCGGTAGTATTTGAAACTCTTGCGTGTTGTGTATGCACATGTTGACTTTAATTGTGCTTTTGCTTGGAATATGCAGGGCGACAAGCTGAAACATCAAGCCTCAATCTGGATGCAGTTAAAGTTGTCGTGAATCCCAAAAATAAGAAGATCATTGTCGACAAGGATGAGCAGTCATCCGCCAGAAACATATATGCCATTGGTGATGTGATCGATGTGAGTTGTTGTGCTCTTTTGTTAGTATGCCTATTTGCAACCTTTCAAGCATCAGAATTCAGAAACACAGTTTTTATTTTTTTCAGCTGGCTTTTGACACGTGCCTCTATAGTGAAATTGATGTTTATACTTGTGTGTGCACGTGTGTGTGCGTGTATGCTATCAGCTGTAAAAATAACCTTGCTATACATACTTCCATCATTTCATTTAAAGATAGTGTAAGTTGCCTTATTCTGTTTTCTTACTTTTCTTTTTTACCTATATTCAAACAACACAAAGATAGAGCTCAGACTTGTTATTAAAAGTGCTAAGCACTCCAAACTTGTGAATCATGAAAGCATAAATTTAAAATTTTATCTGCTGCAGGCATCAGAAGATTAGAAGCCTAAACCAAACAAGGAAGTAGGTTATAGCTCTGCAGTCTTTGGACAGGAAAAAAATTATATTGAAAACCTTTTCTTACTGATTTGCAGTAAAAGAGAAGAATGCTTTCACTGTGAAAGTGTTTTCATGTGATTTATGTCTAGGGAAAACCTGAGCTCACCCCTGTCGCCATCCATGCTGGCAAGCTTCTAGCACGACGGCTTGCTGGTGTGTCATCTGAGTACATGGACTACAGCAGTGTAAGTTTACAAACACGTTAACAGACCTTTACTACGTTATGGCTTTATTTCTGGCTCTAGAATTTTATCTCATTGATGGTAGTTACGACCTGCACCTTTTAAGAAAGAATGACTAAACAGCTCGCTACTCAAATGTAACAATAATAACACGTGCCAATGTGTATGTTATTTTTGCTCCTTTTCTTTCTCCACGCTTGTCAGCCTCTGCTACTGAATTCTTCACTTCTCTCTGTTTCCACATTTGTTCTGGTTCTCTTAAACTGCACTGTTGCCTCCATTAATAAGAGGGAACCGGCCAAGGTTCACATTGAAAAGCCGGCTTCTTTCGTTTTCACTTGGCCAGCAGTCTTTTTAACTTCTGTCTGGTCAGCACTACTTGCTTAGTGCATGGTTGTTCTCATTTTGTTCCCATATTTTTTTTTCTATGCTTGGCTACATTAGCTGTTAACTCCCTATCCATAGCAGCCATTTTGCATATCTTTTTGCAAACTGCACAGTTCCTTACTTTTTGTTCAGCTTGCATAATCAAGCACATGTTGAGTGAAACATGTACGCTCGTTCTGGGATGAGGACCAAACTGCTGCATGCCCATTAACTCATACACAGACGCTCAAGTTGAAGCCTATTCAGTTTGGCAGCCACTATTGGCAGGACATTGGAAAGAAAGCTTCCCTTTAAGACAAAATATAGTTTTCTATTTAGTTATGACATTTTTTAACACAGACGATTACGTTATAGCTGTAAGGTGCTCATAAAGCAAACAGGACCTGTAGTTGCGCTATAGTAGATTTATTTATGAGACATGTTTAAAAAGTCTGGGCATACCGATTTACCAGCTCCTTTCAAGTCATATTTTTTGCGTTCCTTGTCAGAATTGTTGTATTCAGTAATATTTGCACGGTTATGGCTCTACTTAGCATTTATGTAATATTACTTAGTAACGATCTGAAAACACTTTGCTGACACCGCAGCTGCACCACTACATGAAATAATAGTCGGTCATAAATAGCCTTTGATTTTCTTTGGTTAATTATGAAAACTTAGACTTTTCATAAGAATTTGCAGCATTCAATTTTCATTAGTTAATCATAAAAACTCAGGCTTTTCGTAAGAACTTTCGGTTCGCCAGCAGAAATGCTGCAGTTAAAGAAAAAAAAAGGAGCAATACTACATATAACTAGAACGTACTTTATGATCATCCCCTTGAGACAAACTAATGTTTGTTGAAGGAGTTCGTAGTTGTTTCACGAAGCATCAAATTTGTGTCTCTGTTCTTTGCTTTTGTCAAGTTGCTTGGCAAGTGACTGCTATCTTTAATGTTGTGCTCAAAACAGAGAATTGCTGTTATGCGTATTTCAAAATTCAGGTCCCTACAACAGTCTTCACGCCACTTGAGTATGGTTGTGTCGGAATCTCCGAAGAGCTTGCCATTGAGACGGTTGGCCAAGAAAACATTGATGTGTTGCATGCCTTCTACAAGCCATTAGAGTACACTGTAGCCCAGAGAGATGCTAGCCATTGCTACATCAAGGTATGTAAATTTCTGTGTACACTTTTCAGTGAAATACGTGCTGGTGAAAAACCTTTTGTCGAATAACCCAGGGATAAAATTCGTGCTAAATAAATGTTTTCAGAGTCTAGGCTACCTGCAAAATGTCTGCAAGTCAGATGATTGTGAAAATTTGTTATTCATGGAGACATTACATATTATTGTCATTGCCATAAAATTTTAAAAATTCTGCTGCTGTAAGCAGTGGAAAAATATATGCAGTTGAAAAGTAAACTTAGCACTATTTGCCCTCTGAAATGGCTGAATTTCTCTCCTGTGATTGTGTCAGCTTAAAGACAAGACGAGATAGGAACTGCAAGTCAAGTGTGGCAACCAAAGTGGGTTTTAGCTTGCGGCAGTTGCAAAGCAGGCTTCACATGTGTAGGACATGTCTCGGCTATAAATAAAATGTTCTGCAGAGAACATGGTGCATCACAACATCATTATTCTCAGCCCAATGTCTTAGCTTAATCATAGGTAAAAGTTATAGCTTTGCTAAGACCTTTATTTCAGTATTATGTGATTCTTCGAGACTCTATAGTTGTGCTTTAATAAACTGCCACTGAATACAAATGACCAATTATACTACAAGGTAATATAGATCTGCTTTTTTCCTCACAACTGATGGACGATTTTCAGGTCCTTTAGAGCTCGAGTAAGTACCGCTGCCTGTTTTCTGTATTTTTTTTCCCTCTCTTATAGGCAATAGTGAATCTGTCAAAACGAGAGCATGTTCTTGGACTGCACATGACAGGGCCCCATGCAGGGGAGGTGATACAAGGCTTTGCTGCAGCATTTAAGTAGGTATCCATAAGACTGCAGCACATATATATTTTTCATGCCTTAGGCTAGCCATGGCTTTTCTATGGTTTGTGGTTCTGCTATGTTTTTCAAACGTAATACCCCGGTCACAATGGCAAATTTAGTCTGGCAAGACATGGCTTTTCTATAGTTCGTGGTCCTGCTATGTTTCGCTAATGTAATACCCCAGTCCCAATGGCCAATTTAGTATCATCTTGAGTGAATGCGCTTATGCTCCAGAATGTCACTTTCCCGGCATGCTGCTACACGAGAAAAAAAAATGTACTTTGGAAATGACAGCTATGCCGATGGGTAACTCAGTAGCACAGTAACATTTGTTATTTCAGGCAATTTTTTTTAAGTAATGACATGTTACAGCTATAAACAGCCCCTAAAATAAACTTTATGTACAAACCCCGCAGCTGCAGTGGTTGTACAATGTGTTCTGGGCATGCCCCAGGCGGTGGTGGCTGTAACATCCCCTATACATTCAATGGGACGATTGTCTGTTAAATCCCATTAATGTTGTCTCCAGCAAAGAAAACAAGCCCTTAAAGATACTTCTTTTCTTCATAATAAATGTCCTAGTGTTACAGCGTACAAATGACGCTAGTGGTGAAGTGCACTCCCCAAAAGTGCAGCTAAGTTGCCCCTTGTAACAGGGTATAACTCTCGTCTCTCTCTCTCCTACTTGTTGTAATGTATACTGTCTATTAAATAAAATATAGGAGAGTAGGAAAACCACTTTTTTTCTATAGCACTGCTCCTACACAGCATTTAGACAATTTGTCTGCATAAACCTCTCTCTCATCCTTGCATGAACTTTTGTTAAAACATACAGATATTATAAATGTGTGATAAAAGCTTGAAGCATCATTGCTTTTTACAGTAAGAAAAAATGCTGCGTGATGTTTTCTTCTATGTGACAACTGCTATGCACCAAGATGCAAGAATACTCTACGTGAGTTAACGCCGCGAAGCGAGCGCTCGGCGGGGAGGGACCGATTATGTTCTCATTTGCGGCATGCCGATAGCTCGCCGGACTGAGGACCGTGGCAGCCTGCTGGCGAATTTTGCAAAGCACATCCGGCACGTGGGCGACGGTTTCCAAATCTAAGGAAACCGGGTTATCATGCGATATCAACCACGCGACACGCATAGGGCGGCGCCGTGAAAGAGGTGGTAATAAGAGAGGAGGTTGACGGTGCAGTGAGGGTGTTGTGGTAACGATAACTGAGCGCCGCTACTTTCCTACGTCACGGGGCTTTCCTACTTTGAGAGGGCGGGGGGAGAGCCGGGGTAAAGTTTGTAGCGCCATCTCTCAGGCTCCTTGCAAAACAGAAGATTATCTGGAAGCGGATAATCCTGGAGTTCGTTCACTCCTAGTATTCTTGCTCCATGCTATGCATACATTAGCTGGTATACATACATAATTGTCTGAACTGAAATGTATTCATTTACTGTCACATTTATATTAATGAACTTTAGTTTAAATAGTGATGTGTAGGCCACTGGGAACTTTCAATAATATATATTCTTGACACTGAAAACTAAACAGGAAAAAAAATACTGCCTCAATTCCTTGCCTCCAGTGATGCATGACCTAGAATGTGTGGCCTACAACATGAGACTATACCTCCTGTTCCATTCAATGATATGGAAAGTTCTCAAGGTTATGTGCTAGTATGCACATATATGCATTGGTGTGCCATTGTTCCATCAGTTCATAATATCTAACAATCTCGACTAGTAAATCTCAAATGAAATATAAATGGAATAAAATTATGATTTAGCTTGTGCATATATTCAGCCACTTCAAATATTCGAATGAATATTACTGTATTTGAATCCACTTAGATTTTAATATGAATAATTGGAAGTTTTGAAGTATTTAAATGAATGCATGTAAGCTCTTGTAAAGGTCGTTTCTTCGTTCTACTCCAGTTGGTAAGTGTTATATTTTGAATATGCCTATGCAGGGAAATTCCGCAGTGCCATGAAGCCTGACTTCAAGGTTAATTGAACATATTACCCTCACATAAACTAATCATTTTTCAAGTCTAAAAGCTTGTTATATAAGCTTATGGGCTCTCAGTATAAATGTTTTTAAAACATAATGTATTTTACTGGTTATCACATTAATCTTACAGAAATTTAAATCCTACTACTATCCGAAGTTTCGTGCACTTTGTTTCGATTAAAAAGAATGACATTCACACATGCCTTGCTCCAGAAAAACAATATTGTGCAGGTTATTAAAGTCATGACAGATATGCTGATTTTTTTTGTACATGGGATACGCTCTACTAGAACTATTCAGTTTGAAATTACTCAATGAAATCACTATTCACTTCAAAATCATTTTAAACCTAAAATTTACCTTTCGGGCAGCCTTATGGCAGTTTCTTTTCCATTTTATGAAGCATGTAAAACTTTTTGCTCTTATAAACAAGATTCCAGATTTATGTCACACATTGTTCTTACAACAAACAGTCTTGAAGTAGTATAAGAAAGAGTCGTGTGTTGTTTCAGGTCTGGTTTGACAAGGCATACGCTGGAGCAGACCATAGGCATCCATCCTACAGTGGCTGAAGAAGTCGTCAAGTTGTGGATAACGAAGCGGTCCGGGGAAGACCCGCAAGTCACGGGCTGCTGAGGTTAACTGGAACGTCTGCGCTCTAGAGCCGCTCGGCTAGGAAGATGACCGATCGGCTGCTCACACATAGAGCACAGACGTTCCGTTACACTGACAGTGTTAAGTTGAGTTGCAGTTGTCTCTGCCAGGATGACGCTGATCCTTTAAAGCCAGACACTGGTTAGGGCCCAGCTGATGATGCAGCGACTGCACTGCTCTCTTTCAGATGATTGTAGTTCTTATGCTGCCAAATGTGTGGTGACCTTTTTATCATCTCATTTGTTGTATTATTAATATCATGTCAATAAATTTAATATTTATGGCTTATACATTTGTGTGAAAGGATTTTCCTGTGCACTCTAAACACTTTCCACAGCAGTGCTGCTTTATAGATCTGCCGAGCAGCTGAAGTTCTTTCATAACTGCTGTTCAGAGTAAAAAAACAAAGATAATTAAAGAAAGCAGGCTTAATTGCTGCACTTAACATTAACTTATGCACTTACACTATATGTGCCAAAGCTCTCAATTCTGGCTAAAGCTTGCCAAGCAGATGGTTTTAGAAATTTGTGTTTGTACTAAAATACCTCCATTTATGCTTTCAGAAATTAAAAAAGCAGTAGGGAGTTTTCTAAATAGCGCAAAGACCACTATGCATATGCACAACACCCAAACCGCATTTGTGTTTTGGGTTGGGGACACTATTCCTGGAATTTAGTGAGAGCCCCAAAGCCTGCTCCAAAAGTTTTGCATCAAGCAAACATGATGGCAGCCACTGAAGAGATCTGACCAAGAATTGTGTGAGTAATTCAAAGTGCCGTAGACCTTATTCGAAAACTCTTCGCTCCTGCTTGACCCAAAGTGTGTATACGCAAAGGGCTTTGGGGCCCCTGTTCAAAAACTCCCTACTATTTCTCGAATCAGCGGGAGCCCCAAAGCCTGCCCCGAAAGTTTTAGGTCAGACAAATATAACGGCATCCACTGAAGTGAAAGAATTGGGCGAGTATCCAAAGCGGCGCAAACCCTATTCGAGGACTCTTCACTCCTACTTGACCCAAAGCGCCCATACGCTAAGGGCTTTGGGGCTTCTAACCGAAAACTACCTAGTGCTTCACCGAATCTTTGCAAAGAAATACTTAAAATTAAATATATGTAGACTCACGTATAAATATTGGTAACGAGTACAACTAGCCTCCCAGTAGTGGAATTCTGTTCTAGAATTGCAGTGGTTGCACATATTCATCATCAGCCTACACGTCTCAGGACAACCCGATCCTAATGATCTACTCATGCTGTTGCACGCAAGTTGATTCCAATTTAGGCCCCAAAATTTCTTGATTTTGTCACTTTACCTAAACAGTTCTCGTCTTCAGCCATGCTTCCTATCTTTCGTTCATTGCAACACTTTAAATCTGTTATCTGTGCTCCTACGTTACCACTGCCACGGTCCGATTGCCCTCTGGGGTGGGGGTAGCTGGGGGGAGGGGTAGGTTCATCTATGTTTATTTGTTATTTTTCCCGTTCTGCCTCATATAATAAAGCTGGTAAGAAACAATGGTTGTATACATAGACATGCCCAGGGTTCTCCTTCAGGGGGAGGCGGGGGCAAAAGTAAAGTGACTTTACTTTCGCCTGGTTGGATGGATGGATGGATATGGCTGTACTATAAGGTCCGTTCGATTCACCTGCACCGGTCGGAACCAATTCACGGCTGTGCACGCGAAGTTCAGAAATTGTGCAGCGTGAGTTCAGCGGTGCAGGCACAGCACGACACCCGAAACGAATGACGATGTGCCGACAAGGTGCAGGCCTTATTTCTTTTCGCTTAATTTACACCGTTCAGCAAACGCTGACCGATGGCAAATCGAACATGCGGACAGTTTACGAGGCGCAAACATCTTGGCAAAACACACCGCATTTGTAGAGGCGGGTACGGCGCCTAAGCCACCTACGTCTAAGTGGTGCGTCGTCTGCTCAGCTGCACGCGCGCCTGCACCAAGCCGGCACCGTCAGCGAAGGAGGTGCAGGAAAATCATGAACCGGTGCTGCATCTATCCTGCACCTTTCGAAACGAATGGCAGGGTTCAGCGGTCGTCAATGCTGCACCGCTGAAACGAATGGCAAGGTGCAGCACCTCGTGAACTGGTTCACGTGGTGCAGGCGAATCGAACGGACCTATAGTGTACTAGAACCATATTCTAGTACACTGTAGCTGTACCACGCTGTATCCTTTAGATTGGGCGGTGGCTAGCGCCATCTAAGTCGTAATACTTAATGAACCAAAAACTAGATTTATTTTTTTCCCTTTCAATAGTGAGGTTGAGGATTCATACTTTGCAGTGAAGGGTTTAATTTTCACTCGTGCCTTGACTTCAACCACCAATAAGATAACCTCCTTCTAGTTAATTCTACCCGCGCTTAAAGTCTATTTTGCCCTCCCTGTCCCTAAACCGCAGTGCTTTGAGCCATCACCCTGAACTATAGGGTGAAGCCCTTTACAGATGTCATCAAGTGTTCGGCACTTTCCTCTTTCTCTCCACACGCACTGCATACCGTGTCTATAGTGTTTACACTTTACCGTGTCTACCCCATCGTATTTTGCCCGATATGTCTTGGTTCGCAATACGTTAGTGCGTCGCAGCGCCTCCTCCTCTCCTATTATTATTATTATTATTATTATTATTATTATTATTATTATTATTATTATTATTATTATTATTATTATTATTATTATTATTATTAGACAAAAGAACCTGCTGAGCAGTATTTGTCTAGCTTCTTTGATTTGTTGATAAAAACAACAGCAAAAATTAAAGTTGAGTGTGAACCGAAACCGAAACTCGCATTGTGTTTTACGTTGAAGTATTTTTAAACAATTACTGCAAAGTATTAATAAAAAAGTAACAAAAACATCAATCCTATAGTTTGTACTTCGATTGTATTTAATTAAATAGATTACTTATACAGTTCAGCATCTTCATTTGGTTTTTGTTATGCTTTCGAAATCGCTTCACACTGGGCGCAAGGGGCGCAACGTTTTCTGGCGCGGCCACGTGTTGCTAGGCTCTGTCACGTGCTTCCGCTTTCAGGTGTTCTTGTTCTCGAAGTTGGAGCGAATGGAGTCTCGCTTTCGGTTGTCGTCGCTGCATGCATTTGTCTCGACCGATGCGGCGTAAAGAAACAAAGACCGAAACGAGTGGTCGTTCCCAGCTGCACTCGCAGCTGCGCGAACGTAGCAGCGATGACACCCAACGGTGCTCGGATTCGCGCGCAATCTAGGAAGGAAGTGTACGACAGGCTCCACAGGATACGCCTGGTAAGCGACTATAATTGACTCTCTGATTGACACATTAGTAAATGACGACATGTGTTTCGAGCCATTGTGTACAAGGCTGCACGCTGTAACGATCTCTCTCTCCCTCTCTTTTTTCTACACGCGCGCATGTGACCTGTCAGGAACTTGAGGACCTGAGGCGTCATTGCGGTCGAAGTGACAACGATGCTGTCGAGGCCCTCAAGCGGAACTTGTAGAGAGCAGGAAGAGGAAATCGAGCGTTTGAAGACAGAACACGAGGTATTTTTGGGATTTTGAGTGACATCTTGGACGTCACGTGCAGAGAGCTGTTCGGGATATTGCCCCTGCTGTTCACTTCCTAGAATGAATTGCGTCCAGCACTTTTACGTTAGGTGTTTGCAATACCTATGATTATGAACAATACCTCAGTGCTGTAAGTGAAGAACGTGCACGTTTCATTAACAAAGATGGTTTGGAGGGGAGGGGGGGGGTGTACATTTCAAGCTAATGAATCCTAAACATTGTTATGCAGTGTCAACAAATTTCTTTTATGAATATCTAAAATAGAAAGGGTGCAAGAGGCACCTTAAACGATTTCCTGGGTGTGTATACAAATGCTTGTGGCAGGCTTTCAAGATATTTCACGCTTTGTAATCACTTTTGAATTGTCACTGAGCCTGCACAATAGCCATGCACTGTTGTGTAGCGATGTGATCTAGCATTAGAGCCAGCGACATTCATAACCAGGGAACTAGTGAACTATATAAGGCTGCATACAGTACTAAAGTGACGACCTAATGATGTCATTTTTGTTATAGTAAGGTGACTAAAATATTTAATGATGTACGTGCATTGATTGTTTACAGGAAGCACAAGAACAAATAAAGTACCTGAAGATGCTTTTGTCTGTGAAGGGAACAGATCAAACCGAATTGGTCAAGGCTAAAACTTGCATTGATCACAATGCTAATTCACAGGTAAGCACTACTTCTTGATCTAAATGGTATCAGTTTGCCACACATATTCTCATCCCCAATCCAACCTATACGGTTGATGTTGAACAAAGCCCTCAATAACATTTTCGAGAAAGGTCCATTATTTTCAATAATATGCTGAGCTTGTGTGCATTTAAGTGCTGGTCACGATTATGCAATTACTTTTGTTGTATGCAATATGTAGTTTTGTAAACTCATGTTGGGATTCATACATTCAAACATTTTACATGTTGAATTTATATAGCAAGAGATTTGCAATGCTTCAAAGGATCACTGACACTAATTTTGGATATTTTTGGATTGTAAAAAATAAGAGAACCGGTATTGACAACCCCAAAAATAATATTGTGGTGTATGGAAGTGCATTGCACATATATTTAATGTCAGCATCTTTAAAAAACAGGGAAAACTAAAGATTTCCTTTTTGGAATATCTCAAAATTGTGTCAGCACTGCTTTAAAGTTACAAATTAAATTAGCCTTTTGCAGTGAAGTGGGATGAGAACCATATGCAGAAGAATGAATTTTTCAAGTCTATACGAAGAAAAGTTGTGACACATTAAACATTGATTAGTGAGTTTCATTTCATTTCATTTTATTACCTTAAAGGTCCCCAGGGGGACATTACATAAGGGGTGGGGTTACAAAAAATGTACAAAAAAGCCATAAATTAGTTTGAAAAATGGCTTGTGACGCTATGCATGGCAAAGGCAAACGGATTAGTGAACTGCGCTGTTGCACAGTCGAGGTCAAGCTGGGATTTCGCTTATAAAAGTTCATCATACTATATATAACTTATGTTAGACTGGGTTTAGAACATCAGTTTTTGTTTACTGCATACAGTTCTCATTCCAGATTTATTCCAGAATGCGAATCAAACTTTCCCCTTCTGTCTCTCCCATGGTTTGAATGCACATGAATACCTCAGAAAGTGGACAGGAGGGGGGGGGGGGGGGGGGGGACACGGCCGCTGCTGTAGCTCCATTGGTAAGAGCATCGGGAGTGAAATTTACGGTTGCAGGTTTAGTCTGACAGTGGAATGTTGTCTTTTTCCCCTCTTTACTTTCTTTACACCTATAATGCAATTACCATAATACATTTAAACAAAACAATTAACATTGTTCTAAACTTTCCTTGACTTCATTATCTGCTGGTTTTAAAAAAATTGGCTGATTGGCAATAATCATTATGTGTGTTTTCTGATGTAAACAGCTATGATATAGTGATAATTATCAAAAACCTTAAAACATTATATGACCCAAGTGTGAAGATGTGGGGCAATGCCAAGTGGCAGCGATGTTTTGTTTGTTTTTGTCTAACCCCATTTGATGTCAAGACTGCTATTTCATCCTTCAGATAGGAAGTGAGAAGGGGAGAAGGAGAGAGGGTAGCTTGATTTTAGCCCCCCCCCCTCTAATACTTCCGCACGGCACTCAGGTTGCTGGCTCGTGTGTTGGAGGTAAAAGCACCTGAAATCACATGAACGCTTTTTTCAAACATTTCACTCTGCTAGTACACAAATAAAGTTTTTCGTGTGTACATACACTGTCTACGTACTTCTCAAATTTTGTAGAATCTCGGGAATATGCCTCAGGCCAACTTCACTGCTCTGGTTGTTCAGTAAAGATTTCTCTCCCTCTTTGGTGTATTCGACTGTCCTTCATTTTTTGATACACCTTGCCTTGGCCAGTTACTTCAAGACCAACTACTGGACAGATTGTGGGCTGCCGAAAAGCATGCCTGGAGCTTGGAAGCTGAACGAGACAATCTCAACATCCGGCTTTCAGAAAAGGTGCTTGAACTCAACAAGCTGCAGCTCCTCTACTCCAATCAATCAATGGTATTTTATGTTATTTTTTTGTCAATTGTGTGGGTGCTTAAAAGTGAATATGGCCATGATGCTCCAAGTTTCATGTTACAAAATTAACCCGGAGCTTTGCCGCTGTGTACGTGCCTCATAATCATATCGCGATTTTGGCACGTGAAACCCCAGAGTTTAATTTTTAAAGCCGTTTATGTCTGGTGCCATGAGTTTGTATGAAGCGGGTAGGTTCCTTGTCATAATTTCCAGGCATTGCTTTATTTCCTGTATCATGTTTGCATGAGGCTCACTTATCCACCGAAATGTACTGGACTTGGTGTGATCGAAAAGCAGCTTCAATGTGTTAATATCATCTGTAAATAATTTTCACGAATTCTGTACATTCTCAAACTGTCATGAACTCTGCGTTTATTGCCAAACAATAACAACCTAGCTTCTTTACCGATTTTATTCATTAAAGTAGCAGTCTTATGCGTACTCCATCAGGTGCTAGCCTTCAAGAACGGTACGCAGTCCAGAAAGTCACATGTCCAAAAGGCTACAAGCATTGAATCGAACCCAGCCCTTTTGTGTGGCAGTCAAGTGTTCCACCACAGCGCCACGCCAAGGGTTGAAACTGCTTCTAAAAAGCAATTTCAAGCACTGGCGTGGCATTGAATGTACACAGGTGTCATGTCGGGGGAGGAGTTGTGTCAAGAGACGTGAGTGAGTGAAACAACTTTATTGACGATCCGGCATAAAAGGAGAAGGGGTAGGGGAATTCAAGCAAGACAGTAGCATGCTCAGGACATCCCGGAGCCGCAAATAGTGTGTGGCAGAAGCGTCGAATCGCACAAGGTGCCACACAGTGTGAATGGCAAAACGGTTGAGTAGAGTAACGCTTCCTAGCCATAACGTGTACTAATCATCAGCAGCCATAGCATCAACCCAAGTGTATACCAATGTAGATGCACGCAGTGGAAACGTCGCAGCATATTCTGTGCCCAAAAACTGTTCCCAGGGAGAGCTGCTTTGCAATACCCTCAATCAACTGGATGATCAGAATCCTTCGGAAAAAACTGCCCTGCATTATATACAGGACTTGAAGGGGTGGTGTCATCAAATTTACAGCTATACCAAGCTTGTTGTGGCTTTCCTCTGAATGCAAAGACACTCTACACAAAAAGTCAGACACAGCAAACATCTATAATGTATTTCAATTCACTTCCATAGTGTACCTAAATGCTCCTTCTCCCGATAAAGCCCTATCGCTAGCGTGCCAACACCGACGTAGCTCTATAGAAAGGGCAACAAAAGTTGTAGCGAGGTCACGCCAGATCTGTAGTGACTCCAGTGACCTCCAGACCCCAGCAAAGCCTTTAGCATCAAAGCATTCATTGCAGCATCACTCGCAGATGATGTAGCTAACCATGGCACCTGTTGGCGCATTTGTTTCGCTGGTGCTTGTGTAGCATGTGTGCCTGAGAGTAGACAATACTCAGTCCGTGTGTACCAGCCTTGCGTGGTCAAAGCTACGTACGCTGCTACGTCACAGCCCAGCTTGGCGCCTAGGAACTGATACCGCAAGTAGTTCACATAATAAAGGCTATAATAAATTATTTAGCAAGAATGCATCAATCTTGGTGTGTGTGAGAGGCTTCCTGAACCTATAACAAAACACTTTCAGCAAAGACGCGCAAGCCACAAATTTGGTAGCACTAGCCCTTTAATGTCACGGAAGGCTGTTCAGGCACTAATGTGCTTTCTACGTTCAACCACTCCAAACAACTCTGACAGAGTGACTTGCATGTGTGCTTTCTTTCTTTTTAATATTATATATATATATCTCCATCCTCTTTTCAATTCTTGTTTCTCCACCCCGGTGCAGGGTAGTGCAGGGTAGTGAAGCAGTTCTATCAGGTTAATCTCCCTGCATATTCCTTTAAAATGCACATAGAAAGACGGAGTGCTTGTCTGAATCGTTCAAAGTGTCAGAAGAGTGATAAGCTGGGCTAGTTGCATACATGTATAATAATGAACAGCGCGATGAAACGAGAGAAAAATGGGGAGGCTACACAGGTACAAGCGCTTGTCCTGCGTAGCATTGCCCCTTTCTGTCTCTCGTCTTTTCACCTTGTTTAATATTATTGAAGGTGTCGATTCAAAGAGACCATAAAGAGAAAAATGATTTTTGCATGCTAGTAAATTATAATCTTTCACAGAATGCTTGCCACAAGAAAACACCCAAAAAGGAAATGTGGGTGGCTTCGCCTCCTTGAAATTCTCACACCTAACATGACGGCATATCTTAGGTCCTCATAGTTTCTAATCAGTTGAAATTAAGGACGTTGACCTCTGAAGGAGACATACTCTTTGCATACAAAATTTCCGAAAATTTCGTTCAGCCAATGTCACCCAAATAAGAAAAAAATGCTTAGAAGTTTGTTGCATCGTTTGCGGTGGTTTTGAAGATTTTGGCACGAAATTCAAGTATGAAACTGACCTTGATTATTTCCTTTAGTAATGAACCTTTGATGGTACTAGAGAGTACTAGAGAGTACAATTTATCAATCTAAACCGAGTCGTCGTTCCACTTTAGTGTGTTTTTTCTTAACACAACACATGTCTTGGCTCGTTGATGCTCGTTTGTCTCACATTAGCACAGCCAGACCAGGGGTGGATCTAGCACCTGATTTTAGGGGGGAGGGCGGTGGCTGCTAGTAAAACAAGAAAGGGGTAGGTGGACTCTTGTTTTTAGTAGTTACAATGTGCACAAGAAGCCCATTGCAGCATAAGTGCCGTTAACTTGTCCCACTTGTTTGCCCTAATTTGTGGTAAAGGTGGATTACGAGCACTGAAAAGGGGAGGGGGCGATCGCCGCTACCGCCCCCTCCTTTCGCTGTATCTGCCAACGAGCCATTCTCCTTCTAAGAGTGTAATGTCTGCCGAATTTTTTGTTATAAAAGACATGGCATTCCTCTTTTTTTTTTCTTTTCAAGAAACTGTTGGTGGCAGAGCGAGACCGCGCAACATCAAGCTCATCGAGGGAAACGTCAAGCTGTGACTTGTCCATCAAGTGACATTCGACGTGTGGATCTGCTGATTGTGCACTTTGAAACGTGGTCTATGTGTCGTAATGGACGGCAGGGATAACGTCTCAGGCATACATCTGTTTTCTGGATTGCAGTATCGGTGCCAAATAATAGTGTCTCAAGGATTTAAAAGAGCTCTACCTTGATTTATATTTTTTTGTTGCTTTGTAGGAAGGTAAAATAGTTTCATGGAACAAATATTATGATTGTTGACTTTGTGGGTGGTTTCTGTTGCCCAGCGCAGGACACTCATCTAGTGTCACGGGTTGCTGCATCTTGCCGTCTATCTTTTGTGCCGCAAAAGTTGAGACCAGCATAGCAGCGTATTTTACTCAGACTTTCAATGCTTGTTGTGTTTTTAGGAGCAATTTATCAAGCTTGTTCACAAATTTACTCTGAGAGAGATATATATGGCAAACATGTTCCTGATTGAATTTTCTTTAATAAAGAGCATATGAATTTGAATAGCTCGTGCACCTTTGTTTTGTACACTGTGCAAAGCTAACATGGACACTGCATGCAACACGTCGGCATCGGACCTTGAGGTCGGAGGGCAGTGGGGGTCGCCAGCAGTGTCACAACGCAAAACACTACACTGTAACAATGACGGTGTCGCTCGTTGCCAGAGCAGCAGCCGTGAAAGGCAACAACAGCTCGGATCCCGACAACGAGTAATATTGCAACTATATCTCACCACACAACGCATTTTTTCGCCGGGTTCATTTCCTCGTTGGGACTGCACTGGAAGGCCTTGGCAAACTCGACCATGTTCTCGACGGCCACGTTACAGCGGTACTCTTCCAGTGAGTGGGAGTCTGAATTCATAATCATCTTAACAGCCTTGGGGTTGATGTCAGCAGCACCACTTGTATGCGCTGCTGATGAAGAAGAGCTGGTCCGGAGAGAACTCTTCGAGGCCCTCCAGAGGAATGTTCTCCTCCTTGCCGCCGGGGTGCTCGTCCACGTGCAAGCGATACGCATGGAATGACTGCCTGAGACCGCCATTGTCCGCTATGTTCTCCGACAGGGTCTGCTTTCCATTGAGGTAGCGCTTGCTGTGTGGCTCGTAGATGCTGTTGTACTGTAGCACAAAGCAGTAGTTCTTCAGGATGAAGTTGCTCTTCGTCTCCTTAGTCCACCAGTTACGCAGGTTGCCGCTGTCGTCGAAGTGACTGCCAAGAGTGTCGAAAGCGTGACTAATCTCATGGCCGATGATGGCACCGATGCTGCCGTAGTTCATGGCTGGGGGCAGGCCGTACGAGTAGAAAGGAAAATTGAGAATAGCGGCCGGTATGGTGATACTGTTCGTAGAGTGCTCGTAAAACGCATTCAGCGTAGCCGGACTGAAAGTCCAGTACTCTTCATCCCTGGTGTTGGTCTGGTGGAGCAGCGACAGTGATCTGAACGTGTACACCTCTTTTAGGTCCATGAGAATCTTGATATAGGGACCCTCTATGTCGGGAATGTCGGCGTGAGATTCGTCTAGTTCCGTTTTGTTCTTTATCCAGTCGGGATAGGCGACGTGCGAGACAATTCGCTGCACTTTGGCCATTGCCCTCGTTCTCGTCTGATCATCCATCCACGTGTTGAGCCTCAGGGCGTAGGCAAAAGCCAGCTTGATGTGATCGACGACGACCTTAGCGTCGTCTTTGATGTAGTCTGGCGTATACGCCTGAACGAAAATGGCGCCGTACGGCATCGGCAAGTAATCTTCGACGTCCTTTCGGCAGAGTTTTTCCTTGTCCACATCGGTGAAGTCCATTCCAACTTCCTGGCCGTATGCGCTGACTGCTTCTCTGATTTCTCTAGAAGACAGTGGTCCCAGAAGAAAGGCAACTGACCAACCTATGAAATCGTGGAACATCTTTATGGTATTATTCTGGTGCAGTAAGCTTGTTACGAGCCACAGGTAACCTGGGCTCATGACGATAATTTCGTCAGTATCCCGCACCTGGACGTTTGTTGGCAGGTACTTGTTTATGACAGACAACCATCGCTTAGAGCTCACCTGCGGCGTCAAGGTCTCTAAGTGTTTGATCTGATACTTCTTAGGTGGCCACGCGTCGGACCTGCCTAGCACCTCGAAGTGGAAGTGTTTTACGGAGGCGATGACTATGGGTGCCATGACGACGTTCTCGGCGAGCGATTTGTAGTTCGTGTTGTTGTCACCCATGATGGCGGCGATTTTCTGCTACCATTTTCATGAATAAGATGTCCTGCGTGTCGTTTTTCGATTGGTTGTTTGTCTGGAGCTGGTGGAAACCCATTTCAAGGTTTTCCATGGTGTTAATGACTAGAACGTTTGTCTTGGTGTCTTCCGGGTCCGGTATAACCGAGATGCTGAATAGACTCGGGATAGACCATCGCAGCGATAGTTGCACGATGATCTCGAACAGGTCCACAGTGTGGTTTGCCTCCAGAGAAGGCCAGGGCATATGCAGGTAGCGCAGAAGCTCCATGAGTACCTTCATAGATGGGGTCGAGTTGGTCATGTCGTAGTTATTGAGACACTCGTGATACATGACAGCCGCTTTTTCCAGGGCACCTTGTTTCTTGCCCGTGATCGAGATTTTGTTCAGAGCCTTCTTAATAACATTGTCCAACTCTTTACCGACGAGTGAGAAGGGGCTGCTTCGCACTTCGTTACGACGCACGGGGTGTTTACGCTTCCAACCGTCGCAGACGAAGCGGTAAAAGTTTTTGCACGGGTCTACACTTCGGTTGAGTGAGCGGGCGATGCTTCGCGCCACCTCCTTGCAGACTGATTGCGGCAGACTTTCTTGTCGGTAGCATCCTTTGCGAACAGCCGGTGCTGGTACGACGCCGCGTAGCCGGAGATGTAGGCCGTGCAGGCAACGATCATGCCGGCCGCCAGAAACGAGCATGTAGACCGTATTGACGCACAACTTGGGCTCCCTGTTGAAGATCCATCGTACGCCTGTGGAATGCGACCCCCGAGTCGCTGGCTGCTTTCTGCTGCCGCCGTCCTCTTCATGATCTGTGGCTGCCGCGCCTGTGTCGTCTTTGCGAGCGCCCTTCTTCCTCGCTGGCCAACGCATTAGGTGCTTCGGCTATTCGAGATGCTGTCGGCGTCACTGCTGGCTGCAAACAGATGAGCGCAAGTGTCAGGACACTCGTGGAATACGAAAGGTAAGGCTTAACTTTTATGTTATTGCACCCTAATGGACTGAATGATGGACTACTTTCCGAGCATGAGCTCGCGATGCCAAGTGTTGTGCTGGATGAAAATAATACGTGGCATACCCACTTACAGCTTATTGCCAGACAGACAAGTCGGCGTGCTCATCGAGTAGCTAGCGTCATTTTTGAAGACGTTCAGTAAAAACTTCATTCACGTGGATTCACGCGATGCGCAATGTGTTAGAGGCAGCTTAAATCTTGTGTAGTTATGCGCTAGTTTGATTGTATACTTTTCTTAATGCATGACTGTACGCCAGGACCTAAACTTAGATGGCGTTTGTGTTCAAGCGAAGATCCACAGAGAGTTCGGGAAAAGATAACTTCGCGAGTGCTTAAATGTCTCCGATACGACAGAGGTTCACAATTTGGGCTTCCTGGCTATCTCTATAAATCGCTTCACTTGACGCTACATCGTCAGTACGGGCGCGTAAGACACTCCTGTTGCAGTGAGGTGCAGCGGTTCAATTTCCGTCTGGAGCGCCACTATGTTTCAAAGTGCATCTTAAAAAACGGTAGCGAGGGGAAGATGAAAGCCTGCTGATGTAAAAATTCGTCAACAGGGGCTGTGTGCTCGAGCCGGCGTTTTGGTAAGTGGACTTGCCTGCTGGATTTGCGCGGACACGACAATGAAATTAGCGAACGCAGTGACCTTGACGATCTCAAACTTTAAATAGTTTAATCGAACTTACGGTCCGCAAGACACCGAAAATATATGGAGTCCTACTCTTTATTCTCAAGTTCAATACACTAAAGCATAAAGAAATGCCCCTGAATCAACTCGATATGGTACATACACAAAGAAAACCCACCATGGTTTAGCACTCTTAAGGAATGTCGCTTCCCTTTTCATTCACGCAATTCGTTACGGCGCTCCCCTTTCCGCACTCCCGTATCCACAGTTGCCCTCTCCCCGTCCTTTGTTATGATTGTTATGCCACAAGCATGGCCCTCGATCGAGAGCGCTTCTTCCCTCGAGAACGAGGCAGTTCCGGGGAACTTTCCTCCCCTCCCAGCGCTACTTTCCGTGCTGACGGCGGCGAGCCACGGTGCAGTTTTGAGAAAAGCGTCGCCTCCTCAATGTAGTGACGAGAGAGTAGAGAGACGTGAGATGACGTCGAAGGCGGCCGATGGGGCCGTGCCGATCTCGCCACTTTATTGCAGGCCTGAAGCGGAGCCACGTCGGCTACCAGCGTCCGCCACGCCAGGCGTGTCAGCTCATTCTCTTTCTCGCGCAGCTCGAGCTCGCGCCAGCTGCGCGAGAGACGCGGCGCGGTGATGGAAAAAATGATGATGGTGATGATGGCACTACAGGGCTCCCCCCCTAGCGCTTTGCGCGATTTGAACGCATATGAAAAAAAGAAAGAGGGCGACAAATGCTATGTACATGAACGGCAGTCCATAAAGTGTTCCTTTGGCAAGTCCAGTTTGTCAACGTGTAGTGACCATCGGAACCAGTGGGTCTCTGGTGGGCGACACTGAGAGTTGCGCAGTGGACGAAGAAGTAAGCGCTCGATGGAAAGAAATCCGTAATGGCGGATGGCTCGGTCCCAGAGGCCTTCAATCGTGGAAAGCACCTCTGGAATTTCGAGGTCTCGCGCCACTTGTGATGCGTTTCTGTAGGCGAAAGAGAGGCCGTACTCAGTGACGCTGTGAAGCGACGCGTGACTGAGAACGTGCTCAACTGGTGCACTAAAGTGCGGGCTCTAAAGCGTGTCAAACGGGCCCGTGTCGTAGAGGCCGTCGTAGAAGGTGTAGTCACACACGCCGTCCGCAGGCAGCGGCTGCGACTCATTCGTCGCCGTGCCGAATACGCGGACCACGGGAAATGGCGTCATGGGAGGCTGTGCAGGAAAGACGGGTTCAGTTGTCGCCTCAGTCACTGTCGAGGTATTCGACGCTGGTGGACTGGTGGCAGTGTTTGTTCCCATGCTTTCAGTTGGCTCCACAGTGGTTGTAGTTATGTCGGTTGACTTGACAGACATCATAGACAGTTCAGTTGGCTGGTCAGACGTCGTAGGCAGCTCAGTTGGCTCAACAGATGTTGTAGGCAGTTGAGTTGGCTCCACAGATGTCGTAGGTAGTTCAGTTGGCTCGACAGATGTCGTAGATAGTTCAGTTGGCTCGACAGATGGTGTAGGCAGTTCGTACGCGGGACACGCGTCGCTAGTGGCCAGACGAGAGGAAGTCGGGAGGTCAATAACAGGTGAAAGGTCACCTGTGCCAGGCTCCGAGGCGGGTGGCAAGGTGGCCGTCATGGAGTCTGGTGGGGCCACGGTTGGTAGCACACGTTGCGACGCAGTGACAACCCCAAAGTCGCGGTCCCCTGGAAGCGGTTGGTACGTGAGGCCATTGCGGGCGAGCATTGAGGGCAGGCTCTGGCTCCGCGAAGGCACGGCGCTGGGGCCCGTCGTAGACCACGAAACAGAGACAGGGACAGTGGCGGGGAGCGGGGACGCCGAGTGTGGTCGGCTGCTGGCCGGGTAGGTGCGAGTGGAATGTGGCGAGGCACCCGGCAGGCCATTTCTGGAACCAGTGGCAGGTGGCGGAGCGGCAGGGGGCACCGTCGAAGAGCTGACTAGCAGCTGCGGCGAGGGGGAGGCCGAGACGTCTGAGCTGGTGGTCGCGGAAACGGCGTCACGTGCCGTCGCTTGCTCTGCGTGCGCTTGCGTGCGTACCTTGCTCTGCGACGCCGGGGAAACCTGCCTGGTGCGGGTAAACGGAAGCGGACGGTATGTGAGGCCATGTCTGGCAAGCACCGCCGAGCAGAGGTCATCGTAAGGCTGCTGGCTGGAGGTTGAAGTGCCAGAGAGATGGCGCAACTCTATCGGAAGGGCGTCGAGAAGAATGGCGTGCATCAGCAGCTGGTCCGTGATGCCATTCACCGCAAGAACGGCGTCGAGCTGCATAAACCATACCTTGGGGTAGGTCGATTGGAACGGCGGCACTGGCGGGCAGAGTTGCGGGAACATGGCAGCGGGCCGTTCGGCGAAGGGCGTCTTCTCCGGGTCACCAAAGTAGTGACGAGAGAGCAGAGAGACGTGAGATGACGTCGAAGGCGGCCGAGCACCGGAAGCTGGTCTCAGAGAAAGGACCAAAAACGTTATCTAAGGCCGTGCCGGCCTCATGTTTGAGGGATTTTGCCCCAGCCGACGTGGTCGTGCTGGCCGGCTCTGTAAAAACGATAAGCTGCTATAGTAAACGTTGCTACCGGTTGCTGTTTCGAAAACGATTGCCTCCCTATTCCGCCTCTGGACGATGGCTTCAGCGAAGTCTGTTCGACTGCTCGCCGCTCTTGGCCATCGCAATAAACTGTAAATCCTAACAGGATGGAGGAAAGGGTAAAAAGCAAGAAATCAGCTCTAGTCCTGAAGAATTAAGACAAGCCCACTAGTCGAAACGTCAGCTCGCTGACACAACCCCTGTTTTACGATTTTTTTCATCAAAGCGAATGTCGGCATCACAATCCACCACACGTGCCCTATCTCGCATTTCCAACCTCCCTCTATCTCAATGTTAATCCTACCGGTTTTGGTTCTATCACACTTTGCGTAGTCCTTAGTGCTTATCGATTTTTGTGTTATTCTCCAGGATAACACAACACCATACGAATGGAATGTCTTGCTATATTTACTAAGAGAGGACATTTAGTGTCCTTGAGAGGAAAATTTAGTAAGTGCTAACCTGTTCTCTTCAGCGTCAGAGTGGAACAGGACAACAGTACCTATAACCTAAAAAACTTGTGGTGCTTCGAGTCGCGTATTTGCACATAATTTAGGCCAAATTTGTTACACTCCGAGTTTCTGCTCTACTAGTTTCTTATTGACAGAAAGAGCAAAGAGAGTTCAATAGACGCCGAATTGTAGAAGCTTATTGATATTTATTACAAAGGAAAGTTATGTACCAGTATCGCCATAGTATTTCTGACAATAATAATAATTGTACGGGCTTTACGTCCAAAACTAAGGCTCCGGGAATTTTTGACCATCTGGTGTTATTTGACGTGCACTTAAAGCAGAAGTGTGCGCAAGGTTCTGACCCGGGGCGGGGGGGGGGGGACGTTCTTTGCAGTGCCCGTTCCCTCCCGGCCCCCCCTCCCCTTCGTGCGCATGGTTATCACGTCGAACACATCGGCCCCAGACGCATTCCTTCCATCAATTGCTTCAGTCCTTCCTAATCATATGGTGGTTTTGGGACGTTAAACCCCACAAATCTATGCTTCAGTCCTTCCAAACGCTCCACGGATCCAGCTCTTGAAGCTCCTCGACCGCTTTCGGATGTCTTTCGATCACAAGCAAACCAGTTTGGCCAGAACATCTTCAATCGTTCATCATAAAGACAACGGCAACCATGCACCCCTAGACGTCCATACAGGGCCTCTCACGCTGAAAGCAGGGTTATTGACGACCATGTGACTGATATGCTTTGTCGGGGAGTCATACAGCCGTCCCACAGTTTTTGCGCATCCCCAGTGGTATACTTTCGAAAAAGAAGGGCGGCAGCATCCGCTTCTGTGTTGATTATAGACGCCTCAACAAGATCACCCGCAAAGATGTTTATCCGCTCCCCAGAGTCGATGACGCGATCGACTGTTTGCAAGGAGTGGATTTCTTCACTGGATCTTCGGTCAGGGCACTGTCAGGCATACCTATGGATGAAGCCAACCGTCCTAAAACTGCGATTCGTAACTCCTGACGGCGCGTATAACGAGTTCAACGTCATGCCAGTTAGGCCTTACCCCTGCCACCTTCGAACGTCTTATAGACAACATACTTCGAGGTCTCAAATGACACACGTGCCTTTGCTATCTGGGCGACGTCGAGGGTTTTTCAAAGGAATTCGGATGCCCATCTCCGATACC